CCATAAAGAACATAAGAGGGTTCACAAAATTTTTAGGGTTGTGCTGCTAGGATAAAAACACAAAAAACAAAAAACAAAAAAAAAACCTCATTTCCGAAGGTAGGTCGCGTCACAAAATCGTCGATAAACAGACAAATTTACATTAAATTTACAATTATCAGACTTTGTGATGGTTTGCCAACAGATTCGTGGCGGATTTTCGACGAATTTTCACTACATTGACATTTGACGGGAAATTTGAAGGATAGCTCGTTCTACCCCGTGCTATATATTGAATCCGCCTCTAATCACATTTCAAAATTATATTTAATATTTTGATAAGTTTTTAGAAAAATAGCGGAAATAGTTATCATACTCGCAACTAATAAAGTAAGTTGCAAAATAGAAAAATGCACTCCCCGATATTTAAGAGCCTTCATTGAAAATGTTTTCCTTTGTTTGTCCATAGTTTGTTCCGAACTTTCTCCAAATCTATATAAAACTCACTGGAATATGGAAATACAGGTATTATTTTTACTTATTCGCTCTATTTTCATAGTTTTTGTGTTTTACCCAAGTTGATATTTCAAACAGGCTTAAAAATGAGTTCGGAAACATTATGTTATTTCGGAGATGGACAATTGGAATATAAATACGTAATCATCATAAAAAAAAATTAGTCGGATGACCGAATCAATACATCAGTTAATTAATTCACTAGGTATTAGTACCACATTTTTTTTAATGATATCACTTTCAATCTCAACCTAATGCACGCGAAACATAATATACGACCTTCACTATATAGTCGGATATGCTATTTAAAATACCTCTCACTATTACTCATTTCATTTACTATTTAATTGTGTTATTTTTTTTTTTTGATCGACAAGGGTTCACTTTTTATTTAAATCCAAGGAACTGCCAAAGGCTTTTTCTAATTACATGACAAAGACAATCAAACTATTAAATTCCTCTTATTGCTTGTTGTATTGTACCACATGATCTATCAAGTTTGTTTGGAAGAAACTTTGAAAATATAGAAGTAAACAAGCACAAGAACACCTATGGTTTGGTCCATGTAACGATATGACATTACGTACATGGACATGAAGAAGTTCTCTTATACACAAGTTTGCAATTTGAGATTAAACCTAGAAACACTAATAGTGACCATCTTATAAGGTCTACAAACCCTTATAGCCTTATCCTATTCTAACACTTATCTCGTATATTTTTGAATTTGGTTCATCTCCATGTGTGGGTCAGGTTGAAACGATACTAGAAGTCTAGAACTCCATTGTTTTCACAAATTAAATATATTGGGTATTTAATCGGTTTATTATTTTCAAACTGTCGATATATTGTAAGTAAGTTAAAAAAAATTATATTATGCAAATGTTGTTTAAGTTAAATTATCCAACTTAAATGACTAGATCATTGCTTCGGAATGGTGTTTTAAATGTGCAACTTAGATCTTGAAGCAGAAATTTGTTTTTTTAACGTGAACCAAACATTATCATTTCATTTGTCGACCCCATTTTGATATGCTGGCACATCTAAATAATTTAATATCTTCTATATTCATAGTTATGTATAAAAAGATTCATCAAAATCCTATGTTTCCTCTAATAACGTTAAAAGTGAAAAGTCCAAAACAAATACAATGACATTCTCAAACAAAACTTCACTCAATATACTTAAATAAGAAACTCCCATTCAATTAGGCACACTTACTTTTTCTATATTTAGCCTACATATAGGCCTCCTTTAAATGAACATTGAAGAACACATTTGGCATCTTTTCAAGTTGTGTATGCATTTTCTTCCTCCTCAAAGTATAGATTTGCGATGGAAAAGACATTTCACATTCGAAAAGATGTTAACCAGAAGGTAGATATGACAATCAGTAATCCTGTAAAATATAGAATTCGACAAAATCATCATGTGAAAAGTGAGATAAATAGGTCTTATAACATTATTTTCATAGTATTCAAATGAAAAGTAATTATAATAACCTAATAACTTGTCCCTTGGCAACGAGGCTCCCCCGACCGATAATTTCATAACTGCACAAAACATATGAACTTTATATTATATAGTGAAATTTGAAAATTTTACATATAACACACTGAGACTTCTATAGATCGACAAAAATATGTAATTTTACTAAAGTTTTTTAATGAATCAAAGTAAAAGAGATTTACTTGTATCACAATTTGAGGTAGAATTCCAACTCCCACACATACATAATTCTCCAAAATGTTCCACATCATGTCCACAAGACCCACCTGTTGCCTCACACGCTTTACAAAATGAATCATTACTTACCTCCACATCATACTTGACTCGTATTCCATAAGTCCACTCAGAGGGACCACTTACTCGTAGAGGTGCCAAGGTGTATGCACTACTATACCCTTGGCACTCTAGTTTACTAAGATTCACACTTTTGATTGCATCAAAGGGTAATGCACAACAAATAGGTGGCCCTGACCCATAAGCCAAGCCCATACGGGCTAGCCCAAGATCCATCCAACCTTGACAACCATAATACTCCTCACAACCCATACCTGAGACATTTCTACATGGTACATGGTTCCCAGTTGGGAATCCTTGGAAGAGTGGTGATTGGGTCGAACAACCCAATAACATGAACACATTATCTGCGGTTGGATTTAGGTATGGGGCCCGCCAATGCTCCACTACAAACCCATTTCCCCTACCTCCTAGCACGATGGAGTCACATGTGGACAAATGTGGATCATGTAAAGTCATGGACCGATACGCATAGTCGATGTTTAGAACCCTATATGAGCCCGAGCTAATGTGAAACATAAGGACATCGTTGATGCAAAACAAAAGGTCTCTGAAACCTGAATGACCGCATCCGGACCGGAGAGCAAACGGGTAATCTATAGTTATGTTGCCACAATAGGATCGACATACATGAGATGCACCTACCCTATACACAAAGACATGTAATAAGATAAACAAAATGATGGACCTAAGTTTAGCCATGGTGAGAGAGGTAAGTAACAAGATACATATGACTCGAAGTGAGCGTATGGATCTAGGAATTGAAGTAACAACTGAGTGGGATGCTTTGCTTGTGATGGTTGAAAGTGTTTTGCTTTAATGCTGTCAAGGTCTTCGTAATGAAGAATCTTCGTGCATTGTTTACTATTCTATGAACTTTTTGTGTTATTTTAATGTTTTGGCCCAGCCCAACTTTTGTATTTTTCTTTTTTTTTTTGCTTTAGTATGCTTTTAGAGCATAAATTGGTACGAATGGTTTGTTTTGATGAATAGAAAACTTGATTATGCAATTTGTAGATGGAATAATTAGTCTAGTATTTTAGAGTTTGTGCAATTTGTAGATGGAATAATTAGTCTGGTATTTTAGAGTAGAACGTTAAATATATTTGTTAGAAACAAACCATTACTGTGATATAATTGATGTTTATGGTAATTTTAGAATTGCATAAACTACATTGACTTCAATTTCTTTGTTAATTTTTGAAGGATCCAATTCTGAACATTTTTTTTATAAATGTGTCCATTTAAGATATGTTTACGTTTTACTTGCAACATATCAAATAGATAAAACAAAGAATAACTAAAAATGAAACTGGTCAAAAGTTTAATGCATACACGCTCCTTTTATTATTATTATAAAAAAATGGATTAATATTGAGTAGTGTAATTAGTTCTTTTACCAAAATTTAACACATTTGCTTTTAGAGAAAATTGAAAATTTGGACATGCGTTTGGTTGATTTCTTTGGTTACATCCATTGACTTTAAAAATTGACATATAGTCACCTTGGCCTATTTTTATTGTGGTTTGATCCCATCAATTTTGAAAAGTCTTTTTTGACCCTTATATATATATATATATATATATATATATATATATATATATATATATATATATATATTATATATATATATATATATATATATCCCCTAATCTAATAAATAAGTACTAATTCGCCACGTGTCAATCTCCAAGCTCCCCATAATTATATTTTCCCGCTTCTTTTAGTCAACTGAATTTACGTAGATGGCCTTCAACTCCTATACACAATTAATATAGACATAGAGGCAATAAATATAAATATGCAAATAATATTCAAAATCGGTAATTCAAAATTCAAATCGGTGATATCCGATAAAATATGAAAGTTTGTTTTCTGTAATTGGAAATTGATTTATTTCCAGTGATTAAATCCCAAAAAATCTGCTGTAAATAAATACATACCAAAATATATACGACTATACGATCTATACGCTTTTGTATCCATGATTCTGCTTCTGAGATTTCTTTGCAAACGCTATTCTTCTTCAATCTTCTTTCATGTCTTAATAACAAAAAGGTGTCTTCTTCTTCAATCATTCTCAGTTTTATCTATTTACTATGTTTTAACATAAGGGATTCAATAAATCAAGTTGCTAATTGGTTTAGTTGTAGAGGATAGAGCATCAGTTTTTCTGTTTACTATGTTTTAACATAAGGGATTCAATAAATCAAGTTGCTAATTGGTTCGTATGTGTCGATTGAAATTTCTTTAGTCTGGAAAGTATTTTGACAGTCTTTGTTTGCTACATATAATTAATGATGCGATATTAACATTTCTAGAAACAATCCTTGTATGACTGTCAGATTATAGAAATCGCCCCTCTGATACAAAAAATATCAATGTATGTTTATTAATGGCTTCTTTCGTTCCTACTAACTGTCATGCTCTCTAACTGTTGAGGCTACACACCTCTTAATAAACTTATCAAAAGGAGGGCAAATTCGTAAATTTGCATGTTCCCCCCCCCCCCCACCCCTTCCTGTCGGTTATAGCAATCTACTTTAAGAATGAATCATATGTCATATCCTATTAGGAAACCTTTATTGAATAATTTCATTGATATGATAGAATAATTTCATTGTCATATAATTAATGCTGCGATTTTAATTTTTATAAGGTTATTTTGGTTTTTTAATTTTAAACCTCTTTGTATATTTATTTTGGGAAAATTTATACTATTTCATTATATTTTAATGACCAATTTCTGTAACTTTCTGTTATACTATAAAGTATTTGTTTAAATACATAAACAAGGGTCCTGATATTGCTACAGTTGCTGTTGTACGAGCCAACAATGAATGTGAAAATAATGATGTGGTCGATGAAATAGTTGAATATTACAATTGTAGATACTTATCAGCATGTGAAGCATCATGGAGAATTTTTAAATATGATGTTCATTGCAGGTATCCTTCGGTGGTCAGACTACCTTTTGATCTTCTTAATCAACAGCAGATTTTATATGGCGAAGACGATGATATTGACGATGTTCTGGACAAACCTTCTGTTGCTGCTTCAAAGTTCACATCTTGGATGGATTGTAATGCAATTGATAATGAAGCACGGGAACTTACATTTGTTGAATTTCCTACAAAATTTATTTGGATATTAAATGGTCGGTTTTGGAAGCGAAGGAAAGTAGGAAAAGCCATTGGTAGAATTCATTCGGTTTCACCTAATCTTGGTGAAACATATTTCTTAAGGATTCCTTTAAATAAAGTTAAAGGTCCGACGTCATTTGATGAAATTCGCACGGTAAATGGTGAAACACATTCTTCTTTTAGAGATGCTTGTTATGCACTCGGGCTATTAGATGATGACAAGGAATAAATCGATGCAATTCAAGAAGCAAGTCATTCTGGATCTGGTTTTTATCTACGCTTCTTATTTGCTACATTGTTGATGTGTAATAGTATGTCTAAACTAGAGGTCGTTTGGGAAAATACATGGGAATATTTGGCAGGTGGAATTCTATATAACCAACGACAAAGGTTCAAGTCTCCAGGTATTAATTTTTTTTTTCTTAATTTATATTTAAAATAAATTCTTTTTATTATTCAATACCCATTAAATAATTATTAAATATCGTATTTTATATTTTATAAATAATTTAATATTTATGGTGCAGACTTATCACTCGGTGGAGATGAACTTAAGAACTTACCTTTGTTCGAAATAGAACAAATTTTACTTCGAAACAACTCCATTCTCAAAAAGTTCACAAAGATGCCTTACCCAGATGTTGAATCTGTTTCTTCTTCAAACAATCGACTTATCACCGAGGAGCTAGATTACGAAATTCCCGTTATAAAGAATGACTTTGATCGCATGTTTCTTGCATTAACAGATGAGCAACGTAACATTTTCCTTAACATCATGAGTGTTGTTAAAGAAAATAAAGGAGGTGTCTTCTTCGTTAATGGTTATGGTGGAACGGGTAAAACGTTTTTATGGAAGACAATATTTGGAGCAATTAGATCTGATGGTAATATTGTTTTAAATGTTGCTTCAAGTGGTATTGCTTCGTTATTATTGCCCGATGGTAGAACAACACACTCTCGATTTATACTTCCATTTGAACTTACATATGATTCTTTTTGTAAAATAAATACAAATGGTGAGTTGGCTAGCTTATTAAGAAAAACCTCTTTAATAATTTCGGATGAAGCACCTATGGCACATAAGCATGCATTTGAAGTTTTAGATCGAACTTTGAAAGATGTATTAAGGTGTGGAAATTCAAGCATCTCAAATATTCTGCTTGGAGGGAAAGTTATTGTCTTTGGAGAAGATTTCAGACAGATTCTACCTGTTGTTCCGGGTAGCAGTTGACAGAACATTGTAATGCTTCTTTGAGTTCTTCATATTTGTGGCAACATTGCAAAGTCCATAGATTAACAAAAAACATGAGGCTAACAGTTGGAAGGGATCAATCTGATATAGAAAAAATAAGAGATTTTGCAAATTGGCTATTGGATATAGGATTAGGCAAACTCGGTGGTCCGAACGACGGTGAAACGATTGTCGATATTCCGGATGATATTCTCATTAATGATCTAGATGATCCTATAGGTTCGTTAATTGAGTTTGTATATCCTTCAATTTTGGAGAAGTATAGCAGTACAAATTATTTCTAAGAAACAGCGATACTTGCTCCAAAGAATGAAGTTGTTCAGGAAATAAACGTTCATTTGCTTAAGAAGTTTCCAGGATATGAGGTTGAATATTTAAGTTCAGATAGCATATGTGAGTCCGAATTTGTCCATGATCAGTTTGATGCAAATTTATACTCTCCTGATGTATTAAATGGTCTCAAAGTATCCGGTCTACCAAATCATAAGTTAGTTTTAAAAATTACTGTTTCAGTAATGTTACTGAGAAATATTGATCGGAAAAACGATTTATGTAATGGCACAAGACTACAGGTGATATCATTGGGCAAATGTGTTATTGAGGCACGTATAATATCTGGAACTAATATTGGAAATCAGATTTTTATTCCAAGAATGTCTTTAATTCCATCAGAAAACAAAATTCCCTTCAAATTCACAAGAAGACAGTTTCCTTTGGCCGTATGTTTTGCGATGACTATTAATAAAAGTCAAGGACAATCGTTATCAAAGGTTGGTTTGTTTCTCAAAGATCCAGTTTTTTCACATGGGCAATTATATGTTGCATTATCTAGAGTTCAAAGCAGAGAGGGATTAAAATTATTAATTTTAGATAAAGTTGGTAGACTCACAAATAAAACTTCCAATGTTGTTTATAAGGAAGTTTTTTGCAATTTATAACCAACTTTTTCATAGCATCTTTTAGTCATTTTTAGCAAATCACACTTAATCCATCATATTAATTTATTTATTTATAATCACCTATTGTATTTTTTTATGTTAACTTCATTACACACATGGGTAAGGCATCATCTCTGTATGTTCAACGAGAATCATACACCAAAAATCAGGGTTTTAAAAATCTCCATTTGTAATTAAATACTTACCATTTACTGTGTAATTAAACACGTACAAATCACAAAGTTATTAAAATATGCAATATTAAAATTCATAACTTTTCTAAATTAATGAAATAATATTTTATTACATAACTAAATTTTAAATTCTATTTAAAATTAATATCCGTGGGTTCCACGGATTTTAACCTAGTATATATATATATATATATATATATATATATATATATATAATATATATATATATAGATATATATATATATATATATAGTTGTCGATATCAGGTTTATTTGGAATGACGTTTCGTTTTAAACTGTAATTTATGGGTTCTTTTTTAATTCGTTAACCAAGTAATACCTAATCTCAAAGTTAATTCTAACAAATTAAATTATTTATATACTATATTAATAGACATGGTCACTAGTAATAGTATATTCTGTATGTTTTAAGATTTGCTACAATACTTTTTATAGTTTGACAATTTTAGTCCATATTTTATATGTTTCAAGAACTTGCCACAATACTTTGTATAATTTGACAATTTAGTCCTTGACGTGTAATTAGAGATTGGTCCATGTCTTTTAATATTTGCCACTTTAAGTCCCACTATTTTGTATGTTTCAACATTTTGCCACAATATTTTCTATAGTTTGACAATTTTAATCCCTGATATGTTGTAATTAGAGATTGGTCACATGTCTATTAATATTTGTCACTTTAAGTCCCTTTGACCATTTTGGTATTCTTTTTGTCCCTTTTTCGTCTTACTACTTATATTTCATTACAAATTGGCCACACGTGTTTTAATATTTCTCACTTTCAGTCCCTTTTGACCATTTTTTACCTTTATTTTGTCCATTTTCCGCCTATTGATTTGTGCTTCTGTTTTGGGCTTCGTTTTGTCATTTTTTTTCATCATCATCATTTGTGAATAAAACAAAACGCATCTCATTGCCACAAAAGTGACCCGTGGTTCACCAAGGGCTCACCCACTAGTTTGTATATATAGATTAGCAAATATTGACGGGCTAAACCCTTAGGTTATGAGGTATAGCACATTCGAGCAAGCTTAGGGTTGCTTCGGCACATAATGTATGTGTTAGCTCAGGTACCGAAGTTGCTCAAGTGGGGCAATCTCTCTCTCTCATGTGATTTTTTTTATTCAATTATAAGACGGTTACCAAATATTAAATATTTGTTTAAAGGGCTATTACACAAAATAATCATAAATAATCATGGATAAACGTCTTAAGTTTTTATTTCATCAAATATAGTCTCAATACATACAATTTATGTTTATATTTAAGTTAAAAAATAATATAAGCTTGATTTTTTTTTCAAATACGAAAAAAATGATAACTAGCATGTTAAAATCCAAATATAGGCCGAAATGTGTTAGGTAGTGTTTGTTTTTTGTCTGCAGATCTGCGTGGCCTCTTCTGTCTGCGCCGTGCAGACCACGCGCAGACATTAGCCTTCGCAGACTGTTTGTTTTTTTGAAGGCTGCAGACCTAAAAATGTCTGCGCGCCCTCTTCTTGGCGCAGATGTGGACCAGAGTCTTCTAACATCTTCAGACATCTTCTAGCCTAAAAAAACATATATATCTTTATTTTTTAAGTTTTTTTTTTAATTTATATTTTTTCCAACTTTATTAATGATAAACAATTTGAAAAAAAATTACAAAACTTAAAAAAAAAACGTTCGACGATACAAACATGATATTTTGACAAATTTATAAATAAAGATTTATTACAATAATAGTCGTTGAAGTTGTTGAATCTAAATATGAAAAAAAAATCATAATATATTCTTATATTTTTTTGCCAAATTTTGTAAAACATTATTTAATACAGTATCGTCAATTTCTCGAGAAAAAATATTTATAGTACATTTTTAATGGATTTAATTGAAAAAATCGAAGTTTATTTCCATCCATTTATGTATCAAATTCTTTGATCACTAATTACAATGTTTAGTTATAACTTTACAACCAAAGTTGTTGGTTTTTATCAAATATATACGTTAATTCATACAATTTTTATTTTTTATACAATAATACATAAAAGTTGACTAGATTCGTTAATTATTTATAACAAAGTCATAAAAATATTAAAAAATCACTTTGAAGTTTAAAAAAATCAGTTTATTTAGATTTCAGTTTATTTTAGTAGCCCGCAGATGTTAAAAAACAAACACTCTTTTTTTTCAGACTGCAGACGTTTGGTTCACCTCTTCTACTGAAAAGGTACTGCAGACATTTTGCCTCATCAGCGCCTTAGTCTCTTTAGTATTATTAGATCAGTGAAGATTTTACTTGGCCCAATCTAGTCGGTTCAGTAATACCAAAACGACGTAGTCTACCGTCGTGTTCAACCGCTGGCAAAAAGATTCATTTCTTAGGAATCCTCCCTTTTCCCCGTCGATCGCCGGCGACTGGTAAAGCACACAAGCGGCGTTTCTTAGCATCAAATCCCAGGTAAACTTATCGAACTAAAAGTGAGGGACAGTAAAATAATCTCTTCTCCCCCCCAACCAATCTCCTTTGTTGTATCCTCGTCTCCCCTGTGTCGCTCTCTACCACTCCATCAGAACACAAGAACACAGCAGAACTCGTTTTTTTCTCCCACCAGCTTTCCTCCTCCGATTTCCGATTAAGACCACCGCTACCGGCGTCTTCGCTTACATCGATTTCCGATCCGGTAAGTTTCAACATCGATCTGAGAGTTGTTTGTTCCGATTTTCGATTTTCTGTGTTCATCATATACCATCTACGCTTTTTTGTTTGATCGATTATTACCTGAAATACCCTTGAAGTGTCGATTCTACACTCCAGCAGAACACAGCAGAACTCTTTTGTTTGATTGTTTTTTTGTTCATCAGATACCTGTTACAGAAATCGATTATTGTTTGTGTTTTTCAACTCCATTTTTCTGTTTGATCGATGCTTACCTGTACTAGATTTGATTATTGTTTGTTGTTTATCAACTCCATTTTCTGTTAACATGTATAAATTTGGTGAAATATGTTTAACTTATGGTGAAATATGTATAAATGTGTTCATCGGTTTATTTGTCTATGAATTGGTTGATTGTGAAATCTGTTAACAAGTATTTATGTAGTTTACATCTTGATTCTATGTGTTCATCAGATTATGGAGGAAAACCACATTAATGTTGTTGATTGTGATACATCTATAAAATACTATATGTAATGTAGTAAAGCATTCTAAATATGAAAATATGTCCTTTTTGGTCATTTTACAGGTAAAGGCCAAGCCAAACACTTCTTAAAAAACAACTTATTGACTTTTTAGCTTTTGTAGCACAAAAGCTAATCCAAACACTTTTTAAAATCAGTATTTGGAAAAAGCCATAAGCCAATAAACACTTTTCTTAAAAAACGCTTTTAAGGTTAAAAAGCACTCCTTTAGAGTCCGTGTTCCTAAGAAACCTAATAGTTTCAAATTTGTAGATCAACATATGTATTGTTTCATATTAACCAACCATAAGATTTTTTTTCTACTACTAGTTTTCTATATGCAATTGTTGATTCAATTGATAGACCTAATTAAAACCCCTCTGCTGATTACTACATGTTAGTCTCAGCGTGAAGTATTTCTTTGTCGTTTAAGTGATTGTAGTAGTAAATGGTCAACTAGGATCGTGTTGTTTTTGAGCTTGCAATTTCCAGGGTAAAGTTAATTTCTAGAGAGACTGGAATCACTTGTACTTGACAATGGAAGTCCATGAAGAACCAGAAGAAAGTGTTCATCGTGTAAGAATCACTTCCCCAATTTGCTTTCTTCCAAGATTTCAATACATTGATTCGCCTTATGGTAAACCCCTTTTCACTTTGAACACAGAAAACTCCAAAGTTGCCTGGAACTGTTAACTGGGGTACAGCAACCATTGTTGGAGTATTTGCTGGCATGTTATACGGAGGCAGCAAGGAAGCTTCTGCTTCTGTTGTAAGTACCCAAAAAAAGATGTTTCATTAAAATATGCACATCATTCATTCAAGAAACTAATGAATATTTATAAATATGGTGTCGATGTTCTTAAGAGCAAAGATGCAGAAGTAACATTGAAACTTGGGAGCACATCTGACAAGAGAGAACAATATAGATTAATGAGAGATGCAATGGAGAAAAGGTTTATCAGAATTACACGTGGTTCAATAGTAGGTGGTGTTCGCCTTGGAATGTTCACAGCTGCATTTTATGGGTTGCAAAATCTTCTTGCTGAAAAAAGAGGAGTTCATGATGTTTATAATGTAGTTGGAGCTGGTTCTGCTACTGCTGCTACATTTGGTCTAATCAGTAAGAAGTTTAAAAAAACAAATCATAAGTTTTTATATCCCATTTAAATCATATCTTCCAATTTCTTTTTTTTTTTTTTTTTTTTTTAGTGCCTGGATCACTTGCATGGCGTGGAAGGAATGTCCTGTTAGGATCCGTATTGGGTGCAACATTTTGCTTCCCTTTAGGTGATGTATCTAAATATATTCATTTACTTTATACATGTAATTACTAAGAGAAGTGTTTTGAATTGTGAAATGTTATGGTGATTGATAGGATGGCTTCATTTGAAACTAGTGGAGAAAGCAAATGAAGGAGAGAGTATGGTTCTTCTTCCTGAAGGCAACAAAGCAAAGGGGGGTGTAGGTGCTGCAATTGAAAGGCTTGGAGGAAGCACAAGCGAATAATAATTTTATAACAATGTCACCTGAATTTTGAAATATTAGTTTACCAAATCCAGTGAGTATGTATTTTGCCAGATGTATGCAAATGTGATCAAAATACAGAAAGAGTGTGGATCTTATACGGCTTTGTGGGTCCAAATTTTGTAACTAAGTTTTCTTTATAATAAAAGGTACTTGTTTTCTAGCATTTTTGGCAACCAACTATCCCAAACTTTGATTTTTTACTCTTTAATGTAGCATACTTCCGTTTTTCTATCCACGACTAAAAGAACATAACCAATGAACTTGTGCCTTTTTCGGTTTTTCCTAGCAAAAGGATGAGTTTTCACTCATATTTTTTTTACAATAATATATTAAACTAGATTTTTGAGAAAAATTAAGCTTGGGAGAACCATTTGAGAGCAGTTCTTTCATATAATATTATGTCCAATAATATGTTATTGTATTGTTTTCCAATGGTTTGCTAAATTAAGCTAAAAAATTCTTGAAAACTAGTTTAATGTCTAATTTAATTGTGGTGAAGAATTTGGATGAGAAGTCATATGTTTGCTAGGTAAATGATACAGTTTTAACAGGTTACAAGTTGAGGCTAGCCTACTTGGCTAATAAGGTGTCTAACAAGAGTCACTAATAAGGAAGTCTTGGGTTCCATACATTGTTGGATATGAAAATGGTGAAATACAGACGGAAAAAAGGTTGTATTTTCCTAAATAAGCAAAATTTATGTATAAGTTTGAAATATGTGTTCAAGTTTGTAAACTTCATTAAATATATATGTTATAACATGAAATTCACTCAACTATACTTAAAGTTGTCTTACATACATTGTTGGATATGAAAATGGTGAAATACAGACGGAAAATACAAAAAAATAAATAATAATAATAATAATAATAATAACAAAAAACAACATAGAAAAACAAAAAATCTAATTAGATTATTAAAGAATTATAATAACTCTTGAGTAAAAAACTAAAAATAAAGAAAATTTAATGATTTATATAACTTCAATTGATTATACTAAAAATATTTTAAATTTTAAAGAGTTATAAGCAAAATTTATGTATAAGTTTGAAATATGTGTGCAAGTTTGTAAACTTCATTAAATATATATGTTATAACATGAAATTCACTCAACTATACTTAAAATTGTCTTACATACATTGTTGGATATGAAAATGGTGAAATAGAGACGGAAAATACAAAATAAATAAATAAATAATAATAAAAACAAAAAACAATATAGAAAAACAAAAAATTTAATTAGATTATTAAAGAATTATAATAACTCTAGAATAAAAATAAAGAAAACTTAATGATTATATCACTTCAATTGATTATACTAAAAATATTTTTAACTTTTAAAAATGATAATATTATAAAAAATATATAATTATCTTTTAGGAGAAAAAGACAAATGTAAGCAAAAATACTAAGCTTTTCTTCAAGATTTAGCAAAAAATTAAGGATTTCCCAACTAGGTAAAAGTTTTTGTAGGTCTTTCTTAAGAAATAGTTATCAAATATGTGAAATTGCCAAAATCAACTTCGTTTTGAAGATCATAAGTTTAACTACTGTGAAAAATGCAAAAATAAAAACAATAACTTTGTAGGCCAAGATAGACTTGCACAAAAAAAAAAAAAAAAACGGTTCACAAGTTCAACCACCCAAAAAACCGGTAAACCAGTTCACTATGAATTGATCTAATTCAGGAACCAAACTGTCGGTTTGCACCGTTCGAGATTGTAGTCCTTGTAAACGATTTAGAATCGGTTTAGTAACGTATCAACCAATTTGGAACCGCCGGTTTAGATAGGTTCGGGTTTTTTTTATGACAAAACCGGTTTAAAGTTAAATCAATTCATTATTAATTGATCCAATTCAAGAACCGAACCGTCAGTTTGCTCATGTTCGAGATTATAGTCCTTGTAACCGGTTTAGTAACGTATGAACCGGTTTGGAACCGATTTAGATAGGTTTGATTTTATTTATGACGGAACCTGTTTGAAACCGAACCGGTGTTGATTTATTTGAGCTGAACCGAACCGGTTCGGTTTGAAAAAAAAAAGTTTGTGCACCTCTAGGTCAAGAATTGTGAAATTGTCGTTCATGATTTTTTTTGTCAAAAAGACATTTTTTTTAAAGATTTTTGTGATAGTCATCTTTGAAGATTATTTTCACAGCATATAATGTCTTATATTGTCAGAATAAAGTATTAAATTGATAAAAATAAAAATACATGGTATCAAATTAAATGAAAAAAATACAAGATCACTTAGGGTCCATTAACACAATTATCTAATTTTGCAGTCCATTAACCTATTTTTCATCGGACACCTTCGAAAATGGCTAATACGGATAACTTTTTAATTTTTGGCTAAATTTTGAAAAATAATTTTTAATTTTTGGTTATATTCGTCTTTTTCTGATTTCGATTAAAAAAAAAGTAAAAATTAATGAATTATGTATCAATTTAACTAAAACAAACCATCCAAATTTATAAATAATTAAATATTAGTAATTAATTAAAATGTCAAAGCTGTTGATCTATCGGCCTGTTTATATTAATTTGTGGTGAAAACACGTGAGAAACCAGCCAACAACAATAGCATCGTTCGTATCTCAACTCGAAGAACACCATTGTTGGGGTTGAGTTCCTCTCATTCACTCTCACCCTGCCGTTACTTGATTAACCCGACAAGGTCCGCTTTCTATCTCTTTCTGGATTCAACTATACGATCTTTGTGTTTTGATGATTCTTCACCATAAATTTATAAGTATTAATAACCCTATTCCTCGTAATTAGCACCCTGCCTTACCCGTCAATTCAATTTTCCGATTGTAATTCACTTTCATGATTTGAAGTAACGAATTGTTTCACGATCAATTAATTCTCAAAGTTTTAAGTCAAATCAAATCAAATCGTTATGGTCAGTAGATTAAGGGTCATTTGATCTGGATCCTCTGATTTTTTTCTAGTTTCAGCTTGTGATTTTAGTTTTTCTCGATCAATTTGATGATACTGATTTAGAACTTCTGTGGTGTAAGAAGGTCAAGGCGGGAAAGCTGTAAAGTAGATGCAATCTCTTCTCTGGTGAGAAGAAAGGAGTCGTTAGTTGATTGCTTTTACCATCTGGCGATATTAACTGAAAGATGCGGTGCTGTTAGTTTATTATTCACATGTCTTTGATAAGTCTCTGCCTATAATAGGATGATGAATGGAGAGGGAGAGGGAGAGGGGGGTAGTGAAACTCTTCCTGAAGGCGTGTGCTTGAATGATGATAAACTTGATGGCAAGGGGTTAACCTGTAAAGTTTCAAACCAGCAACTATTGGATAGAAATAACGATGTATCACCAGTTTCATCACGTTACTCATCATGTGGAGAATCAGAGTTTGATAGATACTGTAGTGCTAACTCTGCAATGGGTACACCTAGTTTGTGTGGCTCTGTTGGTACATTTCAGGACTTCACTGATTCTGATTTCGGATCTGTCAGAAGTCCCAGAGTTGGGGATGTAGGTAGTCTGGAGAGTTTCAGTTTGGGTGGGAAGTTTGAAAGAAAATTTGAGAGTAAGAGTTCTTTAGCTTTTGGCAAATTAGGCAATTATGGTCAGAGAAGCGATTCACATGATGTAATTACAGGTTCAAAGGAGAGAAACAATGGAAATTTGGAACAAAGGTTGATGACAATGGAAAATGAAATGCATTTATATGATGAAATGGATGATCTGCCAGATGAAGGAGGTGTCCATATGTGGAAAGACAACATTAGCTCCAAAAGAATGCCAAGTACTTCCACTGATAAATCTTTAAGTGCAGAAACAATGGAGAAACACATGGAAAATGTAGGGGTGGAAGAAGGTTCTGAGTCTTTTATGGGTGTTGATCAGGTCAACAATGTATTTGAAGGTGGAAAACACTTGGATGAATGTTCTGAAGGGGAAATCTCGTCTCATTTAGAACACTCAGAATCTGAAGGTTCTATGTATGGCTATGGTTCAGATAATGAGGAACAAGCTGGTGGGTTGCCTCCTAGAGGTTATGTCCATTATTCACCGGAGAAGAAAAGTAATAGTGATGATGCATTGTTTATGACATCATCAATAGCATATGGTGCAGATGATTGGAATGATTTCACTCAAGAAACCATGGAAACCCCTCAAGATTTATTTGTCATAGATGAAATTCAAGGACACAACCAAAATGGAATTCAAAGTGAAGGACACACCTCAAAATCCACTTATAGACAGAAACAAGAATATGTGAAAGACCTTCATGTGGACAATGAGATTGATGTTTCCTGTGACTCACCAACATATTCCATGACTCATTCTATGAGCCATATTGATCTCTTGAAGCATGAGGAAGATACAGTAGCCATTGGTAAACAAGCAGAAGACATCAATCAATTCAAGATGGAAGAGGTTACTCGAGTGGAGAAGGTTCCTTTGATGGATGTGTCGCCTAGGAAGCCTGAAGTTACAAAATCAAGTGAAACAACACACAATCGTACATTTGGTGATGTTTCCTTGGGTTTGACACAAGATGTTGAAGATCATGTAGCTGAAATCCCCAAAGACCATAAGCCTTATTCACTGCCATCATTGCCAACTATTAATGTGGAGAAAAGACAAAATGTTACTCCAGCTCCTTTAGATGTTCCTGAAGATCTTGAAATGGCAAGTAAGGTTAGTTATGATCTTCATTCTGTATTAACCAGTCTTCATTTTTTTTTTCTTTCTTTGTGTTGTGATATTTGGCCCTTTTTACCAACACAAAACCACACTTTGCAGGCAGAAAGCTATGAGCTGAATGAATTCTATGATGAAGTTGTCTACGAAATGGAAGAGATCCTACTCGATTCTGGCGAGTCTCCCGCAGCCAGATTCAACCGTGGTCGGAATCATCATTCCCATTCCAATGTTTCTCTCCCTTCAAGAGACGGTAGCTCAACCGCTTCAACTTCAACTCTCAACAGCTCTCCCTCTTTTCTCCAAAATCCTTACAAAATCGATGGAATCCAAGTAATCGGCGCAAGTCAAAAAAAGGGTGACGTGTCACTCGGTGAAAGATTAGTCGGAGTGAAGGAATACACAGTCTACAAATTACGCGTATATAGCGGGCCCCACCAATGGGAAGTCGAACGAAGATACCGTGATTTTTTCACTCTTTATCGCCGATTAAAAACATCATTTTCCAACAAAGGATGGGAACTCCCTTCTCCTTGGTCAACGGTTGACCGGGAATCAAGAAAATACTTCGGGAACGTCTCGCCAGGTGTCGTGTCAGAAAGAAGCGTTCTCATTCAAGAATGCTTACAGTCTATTTTGAACTCCAAGTTTTCATCAAGTCTTCCTGCTTCCATAATATGGTTTCTTTCCCCACCAAATAACAGTCCAATTTCACCTGTTTCTCATTCACAAAATTTGGGGCAATCGATATCACTTATTGTTGAAATCAGGCCTCATAAATCGATGAGACAGATGTTAGAAGCACAACATTATACATGTGCAGGATGCCATAAACACTTTGATGATGGAAAAACTAGATTATGGGAATTTGTACAGACACTTGGGTGGGGGAAGCCTCGTGTTTGTGAATATAGTGGGCAGGTGTTTTGTTCGAATTGTCATTTAAATGAAACTGCTATTTTGCCTGCGAGAGTTTTGCATTGGTGGGATTTTACAGCGTATCCGGTGTCCCAGCTGGCTAAATCATATCTTGATTCTACACATGACAAGGTAATTTGGCATTTTAACTTATGCTGTTCTTATTTTTATATATTTCTCTTTCTTTTTATTTCCCATTAGGTCTTGTATGAGTAAAGTAGTTAATGCTTTTTTTGTGTCTTGATACATTAGTTAAGCCATGTATTTTGGCTTAACCTAACCCATTAAGTAAAAAAGGAAACATTAACAGACCCTGATTCTTGTTGATGTATGAATATCATTTATTTTTTCAGCCAATGCTTTGTGTGAGTGCTGTGAATCCGTTTTTGTTCTCAAAAGTTCCACCTCTACAACATGTTATAAATGTGAGAAAAAGAATCGGGCGAATGTTGCCATATGTTCGTTGCCCATTTCGTAGGTCAATATACAAAGGAGTTGGATCCAGGAGATATATTCTTGAAAGCAGCGACTTTTTTGCTCTCAAAGACCTTGTTGATCTTTCCAAAGGGATATTTTCAGGTTGGTTAGCTGCCTACTGTTTTTGCCATATATATATATATATATATATATATATATATATATATATATTTTTTTTTTTTTTTTGATGGTTGTAAATTGTGTTTGCAGCATTACCGGTGATGGTGGAAACTATATCCAAGAAAATAGTGGATCATATTACGGATGAGTGTTTGATATGTTATGATGTGGGTGTCCCTTGTGGTGCTCGACAAGCATGTGATGATCCATCTTCTCTCATTTTCCCTTTTCAGGTAAACCTTCTATCAAAATCTTTTTCTAATACGGCTGCCTATTTATTAATCACCATGTGACCATCTTTTCAACAATCTGTTATGTGATGCTTGACAAATGGGGTTTTGCATTTACAGGAAGGTGAGGTTGAGAGGTGTAAATCTTGCGAATTGGTTTATCACAAGGCTTGCTTCAAGAAAACGGATACTTGCCCATGTGGTGTACATCTTGGAACAAGGTCCATAAGGAGCACAAATGACGTTCCTGCCCCTCCAAACAACTTGGTGCAACAAGATACGGAATCAAAGTCTTCAATAGGATTCTTGTCAGGGCTGTTATCCAAGGCCAGTTCTTCAAAATTTTGGGGCCATAACGACAATGATACTGTAATACCTATGGGTTCGTTACCCAGCTCTTCCCGCTGATTGATTTCTTTGTGAAATTTTGTTTACTTCTTTCTTTTTACCAAATATTTTGATTCACCGATTCAACTTATTATTTGGGAAACTCTTGTTATACTTATACCCCTTATTTTTTATTGTAAGGATTGGCTTGTAAATGGTTGGAAATGAGTGAAAAGTCTTTTTTGCTCCTTGTTAGATTCATATTTGGGTTTGGAAAAGTGTTAAAAGGTCTCATTTCTGGTAAAATGGATATGTTTCTAGGATGGATTTGTACGGGCTAAATTTGTTTTGATCCATTCACATTCTTGTGAATTTTATATGTAATTACATATTACATATTGCATATGGTATGATTGACTTTGCAATTAAAATAGTAATCTAAATTATATTAAAGAAAGATTTCAAGACGTCACATGCTTCAGTGATTTTGAATAATATGATCAAAATCCGAAAATCGTGTGTTAAACATTTGCTTTGGCATTTTGCAAAATAAATAAATAATAATAAAAATGTAAATTTGTAATATGAGAGGTCGCTACGACATAAGAAAATTTTAAAAATTTGTGAAATATTGATGTCATGTCACGACATGTGTTTATTTTGTGATAGATGTTAACATCATTTTGTTAACCTTTTATTTTATCATTTTTACTGATTTATTTATGTTTTTTTTTTCATTTGCAAATAGAACATAACAAACACATCATTGTTAGGTAAACGCATAACTTAAATCATATTTGTTTACATATAATATTATTGCCATGAGTTTTTTTCCCCCAAAATTTGCATAATAATTTGTTCCAATGCAATTTGTATGCAACATAACTTAAGTTTAAATTGACCTAGAGAGAATAGATACGTTTTTTCTGAAAAATATATCTTAAAGAAAGGTACAAAAATTCCTTCAAATGTGTCACCTACAAGTATCCACAAAAGCTCTGTATGCTAATGTTTCAAGTATTGTCACAACAAACATCAATTTTAATGTTTTTGCCTGTGATTCATGATTACAAGAATACACAATTTCCGAATTTCAAACTTCCAAAACTTTAAAATCTGAAAATCTATACAAGTAGCTCTAGAGTTGAGTTCTTGAAACAAAATTCTTATATCCAACATTTGCCAGATATTTACTACCTTCTACAAGGATATAAGAAGAGTAGAATATGATATTAAGATGTTTACTACCTCAAATACTATCAGTAGCATCACCAAACGTTGAAAGAGCAAAAGGGGCAACAGCCACATTGAATGTCTTTGATTCTACTTTATCAATATGCTTCATTTCAAAGTCCCCTTCCTGCCATGTCATCAGATTCAGATATTGTACATAAATGCAAGAAATAGCAACGTAGTTCTATTCATTTTTATTATTATTATTATAGCATCTGAATTCCATTTCTTCTTATTATAACATTCTATTTTCAAAATCTATCCACTTATAGCAAATCTCATCCAAATACAAAACAAATGGATACTCACCATTCTCCCACTAGGAGTAGTTAAAGGACATGCTGATGAATATTCAAAACTATTATTAGGAAGAATAACCGGCTGTTCACCGATAACTCCAATACCCCTATAATCAAAGTAAGAATAAATCAGAAATATAATAACTTGGTTAATGAGTTATAGTATATGACAGTGTATAAGGATCAATACCAAACATCCTCAGATTTCTCATTAGCATTGGTAATTATCCAGTGCCTTTTGAGAAGTTGAACAGGACGATTCGAATTATTAGTAATTCTTATTCTGTAAGCAAAAAAGTATTGGCCTCTCAAAGGTTGGCTGCGCCCTTCAATGTACACACTCCTAACTTGAACCCTAATCCCCTGAAATAATTGATCATTTTTTTTTTGTCACACTCCCATGAGCTACACTTTAAATATAATGATACAGAAGCTTTCAGCATTCTAAAGCAATGATTCTAAAGAAAGTAAACGAGTACCAAAGTTGTAGCATCACTTGAACATTTCAATAGATAGTGAGGAGCAATTTCTTTGATCTGATCACGATATCTTGCTGCATCCTAAAAGAGCATAATAGGAGAAATTGTAGTTAAAGCACTTTCAACAGCTTTCCTTTGTAAACTGTAATCGTATATACCCAAACTTATGTCCAAGTGGAAAAGCTTAAATTTGTATGATGATACTTTGTTTTTGTGAGTAAAGCAACCAGTAAATCAGAAAAAATAATAATAATAAAATAGTACCTCAAATTTCTCGTTTGCAATGGCTTCTCTCATCAAACCTCGTAGACGTAGAACTGGTTCCTCCTCTTCGAATGATTTCAAAGAATCACGAAGCCTAGCAGCCTCTTCGAAATTCTACAGATGTATTACATTTATATCAACATTTTCAGTTATTATTAGTGTAAACAACCCCAATTGTCGAATTGATTAAGCAAAAATACATTTTCCATCACTCCTCAACCAAATCAAGTATGGAAAGCATTAATCGGACTGAGAATTTCATACACGCAAAATCAATTGTAGAAATAAACAAAAACCTAACCTCAGACTTGGCGGCAAGTTCCATTTGCTGTTTCATCAAAGCATAGGTTTGACTCCGTGCGAAAAACGAACTCTTATTCTGCTGACTCTGACTCTCTGCTCCACCAGCCTCAGCTCCGGCACCAGCACCACCATCTCTCTCCGAAGCATGCGCAATAATTCTACAACTCCTCCTCCCTTGATCTCCAAAACTCAACCTAACCGGAGATTCTCCGGCACCAAAACTAACCTGACCTGGCGTCGTATGCCTCGATTTGACATCATTAAAATCGACAAACAACTTTAAGCTCATCGAATGCATATTTTCTACTGAAATTAGTGCAATCCCTTCCTTGATTCGATTGTTTTTCTGGAAAATAAAAAGATTTTTTGTGAGGACGAATAGGGATCCGCAAAGATCGGAGAAACGGGAGAGAAGAAGAATATATGGCGAGGACGGGTTGGAATATATGATATTTGTTATTGATTGATGAATGGATAATGGATTTTCGGTCCAAATCACACACAAATTCTCGTATCCGTTTGCTCTCAATATTTATATTTATATACTTTTACAAATATGTTTTTTAAATTATATTTTATAAAAACAACAATTGAGCATAGTAGAATTAATATATTTGACGTATTTTTCATTGTTTTAGTTGGCTGAATTTGTATATTTCTTCTATACATTCTATAATTTTTGCTAACTCCTATTTAATTTGTTTAAGAAATTAAACAAATATCCTACGAACTTTCTAGGGTTGATCTTTTTAATCCTTAAACTATTTACGTGACTTTATGAGGAAATGAACTCGTTTGCAACTTATCAATTTAGTCAATTAGACTTGTTTTAACCAGTTTGTTTGTCACATCCATAGTATTTGACACATCAGACATGACATGACAACCACGTAATTGTGACCATTTAACCGAACGACGTCGTATTATGTATGAATCGTAGGGCCCAAATCAACGCTATCCATAACCGCCTTCGTATATAAACACAATCTAGTGCCCTAAAATGGCAAAATTCCAAAGTTTCTTACATTTTCTATGTATTTTAGTTCATACCCTAATTGATAAGAACATGTCGTCACTCCCATCCCCCCTACCAGATGGTCCTTCAGCGGTCGTCGTCATTTGGAAGAGAACGGGTCTAATGGAGTCAGGGAAGAAGACATGGTCATCAACCTCCTCCAAACACAGTTGGAGGTGTCATTGATCAGGGAGGATGTTTATACTGACTTGCGCGAGCTACACAGTTGATCTCATGTAACACTCGTTCCAAGTAGGAATTTAATTTTCTAATGTCAAACATTATTCTATGTGGCCACGACGTAGGGAGTCTCACCACGACGTGTCAATGTTGTTTGGGTCGCGGGCTTTTAATGGACCACCACGGCGTGGCAATAGGTGTCACGACGTAGTAGTCGTTGTTGGTGAAAACCCTAATTTTTAGGGTTTGAGCCATATTTAAGCATCATTAACTCCCAAGACTTTTTCCCTCATCAACCTCCATTGCCTTCTTCGTCCCTTTCAAACCCTAATCTCCATTTGTGGTGTTTTGAGCTCATTTTTGGTGTTTGGTGTCCATTGTAGAATGAAGGAAGCCATTGGAAAGCAAGGAAGGAACTCCAAGCTTTGTAGATCTGAGTTGTACACTTCTTGAGCAACCCCCAGGAGGTATAAAGTTCTGAACTTGATGATTATCTCTCTAGATCTTACTAGTGTTAGAAGTTATGTGTAACACTCCAAAAATCATAAAAATTTAAAATTTTCAAAAACAACCATTAACCATCATTGTTTACCAAAAGAACCATTGTTTCAAAAGTAAAGTCATATCACAGTGTCCCAAAAATCAATATCATGGAATTAGGAAGATGTGCACGATCAGACATTCGTTTTCCCACGATCCTCAGAAGTACCTGAAACAATAAACTAAAATTGTAAGCCAAGGCTTAGTGAGTTCCCCCAAAGTACCATCACACAACATAACAAACAGAGCATGAAAAATGAGCCTTTAGCCTGACTGGACCGCCTCGCAGGGCCTACAAACTATCTGGACTGCTCTATGGGCCTTTGGCTTGACTGGACCGTCTCGCAGGGCCTACAGCCTATTTGTACCGCCTTGGGTGTCTTGGCCTTCAGCACAAAGCATGACCGCCTCAACCCAACCACAATATGTCGACATATGTAACAAACCAACATAAACACAGAACCAACAAATGCAAATAACTATACAGATCTACTAATCGATCATATACTATCATAACAATATCCTATAACCAGGATACATAATCTAATAGGCCGAAATTGGTGCCTTTGACCCTACGAGTACAGTGAGGAAAACTCACCTCTTAGTCCGAACAAAAACTGAATAAATCCCTGCTCCGAAAATCGGCTCTACCCAACACCTATTATTCAAAATATTGCCCAACTTAAAATTAATATCAAATTACCTGAATTACCCTTTGGTCAAAATTGGTCAAACTCAACAAACCAGCCGAGTACGCGAGGCATACTCATATGTACGCGGGGCATTCTCAATCGCAAACCAAAATACGGGGATTTGACCGCGTACACGCGACTACCATCTGATGCTTGAGAAGAATCTGATCAAGTGCATTATTTGATCTTGCAGCATCCGTGTGTGATTGTGCTGTGCTACACACATTATTTGATATTGTAGCATGTTGACCTGATTGCTTGTCTCACGATGAATCAATCAAATCTTCTTATAACCATTTATTTGATCTGAACTGTATATTATGCTTGATCTAATTTCGTTTACATGATTTGGTATTTATAGCTGAGAATTCAATTGGGTCAATGATCTGCAAGCGATGTGACAAAGACTATGCTGAAGAATGAGGGAGTCGGTGCCTTCTATAATGTTTGTCCTCTTCTGTGTCTCTATTGATCTGATAATTTCAAATGATCTAATGCTTAGATTTGTAGGGATGCAAATTTGACCTGCGGATTTGGGTACCCGTGGATGTGAACAGATTGTTTTGAACATGTTCTTTCTGATTGTTTAGACAAGCTACATGCAACAAATTGTTTTAAACAAGTTCTTTCTGATGGATTACTTAGACAAGCTACATACACAACAACCAGACTTGGTACATTCAGGTACACCATTAATGGTTCATTAACCAAAAAAACACAGATTTATTGTTTTTGGTTGTTTATGTGACTCTTTAATTACTTGATAGGATTCTGACAAACAAGGAACTTGAAGCCAACGATGGAAAGCCACTACCTTTATATCAAAAATCTCTTTGCGGACTGACAGCTGGTGCAATCGGAGCCTGTGTAGGAAGCCCTGCTGAGCTGGCACTCATCCGTATGCAAGCTGATGCCAGCCCAACGTAGTAACTACACAAACGTATTCCATGCCCTCTACAAAATCACAGCAGATGAAGGAGTTTTAGCTATCTGGAAAGGTGTTGGTCCCACTGTGGTTAGGGCAATGGCATTGAACATGGGCATGCTTGCTTCCTATGATCAAAGTGTTGAGTTCTTCAAAGACAATCTTGGTTTTATGAAGCAACTACAATTGTAGGTAAGATCAAATCACAAAACCATAAAACCATAAAACTGTAATAAAACTACTAAAACAGAACTGGATGATTTTTTAATTTTGGGAATGATTTCAGGGGCAAGTTCTATATCAGGGTTCTTTGCTGCTGCATGTAGTTTACCCTTTGACTTTGTGAAAATACAAATACAGAAGATGCAACCTGATGCTACAAGGAAATACCCGTATACAGGATCTCTAGATTGTGCCATGAAAACACTCAAAGCTAGAGGACCTTTTAGATTCTACACAAGGTTTCCAGTATACAAAATGGGCTTCTATGGAGGTGGGTCTAGGAACCGGAGTTCCATGGGTCATGTACACAAGATGATGCCCCCGATCCATTTGTAAGTGACCCGACCTGATTGTATTTATAATTTTTATATTTTTGCAATTTTATTGGTTGATTTAATTTATATAAAATGTAGGTTCACTGAGTTTGGAGGTGCAGTTCATTATAGACCAGCTAAAGATTTGGCATGTTCAGTTGCTAAATTTATTCAAAGTGGTGGATCTTTTATTAATTACTATATGGTAAATAATAGTGTTTTTCTTGTAATATTATTTCTTAATTCTTCATTACTTGATAATATCACATTGAAATTAATTCTTTTGTTGTATTTTGATTTTGCAGTATCATGGAGGAACAAATTTTGGACGAACTGCAGGTGGCCCATTTATTGCAACAAGTTATGACTATGATGCCCTTCTTGATGAATTTGGTATGTTATAAAGCTATTTTACATTTCATAATTCATATTAGCATGCATGTGGAAATTATCTTACTAATATAAATTTGAATATTAAGTTGGCGGGGTTTCTATTCGAGTTAAGTATGGTTTATTTAACATACTTTAAAGCGTTATTCAGTCAAAGGGTTTTGACTTTGGATCATAAGATTCTTTCTTCTATTCTTTCTAGAAGGGCATTTTAGATATTTCACAAAACAATTACTATAAGTAGAATTTTTTTTGATGTAATACACAAATTTTCTTTTCATATTCCACCATTTCCATATTATAAACCACAAAAACAACAGTTTCAGACACCTCTGCTATTGGAGACATTGGCTAAGTGCAGGAAATAACAATGTACTTTGCTATTTCTTGCAAAATAAGTTGTTATTTCATGCATTTAGGCCTTTTTTGGTTAAAATGCAAGAAATAGTAGCATACTTAATTTATTTGAGTTGAAAAAAACAGAATTTACTTTTTGTTAACAAGATAACTCATTTTATATCTCCAAGTGCAAGAAACTTGTAGAAAAAGAGTCGACACTGGATGAGTTGATGCATCTTTAAGTGGTGAAGTTGCAAGGCTTAAAGCTGCCATGGAGATTGTCAAACGAGAACTTACTCATGGGTTCCTTTTAATGTTGTACATGTTTTGTTTTTCTATAATAAATATTATGTAATATTAGCAATGTGTTACATTTACTTACTATGGGAATAATTATTTGTATTTGACATATTAGTGCAATGAATTATCTTTCTTGTTTATGGTATTTTATTTTGTATTATGAGACTTTTAATGAGTATCGTAAAGACGCGTCGTAAATGTATATCGTAAATGGTTGCTGAAGTTTATGACACGCAAATGCGTGTCATCTTCATTTATGACAGGGGCTTTAATGATACGCAATGCGTGTCTTAAACGTGCGTCGTAAGGTTACGACACACAAATGCGTCTCGTCTTCCTTTATGAGAGGGCTTCCTTGATACGCATTGTGCGTCGTAAATGTGCGTCGTAAATGTGCGTCGTAAATGCGTGTCGTAAATGCGCGTCGTCTATAGACGACGCGCAAAAGCGTGTCGTCTCTCGTTATGACAGGGCCTTCTTTGGCACGCATTTGCACGTCGTCTGAGCGTTTTACAACATGCATTACGCGTCGTAACAGACTGTTTTTCTAGTAGTGTAAACTAGTTTATTGTAGATTACGTTTGATAAACCATAAAAGTAGCTTGTTTTAGTTTATAAAGTAACTTATAAACTAGCTTATTGATAATCTAGTTTGAGATAATTTATTGATAATATAGTTTGAGATAGTTTATTGATAAACTACTTTATAAGCTAGTTTGTCAAACATGACCTAAGAGCATATTGGTCATTTCAAGTGAAGCCACAACCAAAAATGAAAGATAAACAAATCACGTGAATGTTCGAGTAAGAAAAAGATATGAACTAAACACATAGATTGACCTAAACAGTATGGGGGATTTGCATAATTTTTTTAATATTTTTTGAATGGTAAATCTAATCTATTCCTAAATTACTCATAAATCCACATATATCACAGACGAGACTTGAACCTTCTACCTCAAAAAGGGATGACAATACCTGATGTCGCTGAGTTAGAAGCATTTTGATAATTTTCTCAAAATATTATATGTAACAATATAAAAGGCTGGTGAATAATATACATGGCAATATATTACGAGGGGCGTAATCTACAAATTTTCTATTTGGTAGGAATTATTTTTGTAATTTTAAACACATAGACCGTTTATGTAAAAAAAGCTGCACAAGGACATTTTCAGTAAGTTACGCGGACAAATTTTATAATTTATTTTATACACAGGGTCAAACTTGCCAACATACAAAAATCTTAAATATATAGACTATTTTTATAAAAAAAGAAACTTCACATGAAACTTTATATAAATTATAAAATTATAGGGACTAAATCTATCAAAATCTAAAACTTTTGTGGTAAAACTCCAAAATTTAAAACCTTTGTGACCAAACACCAAAACCAAAAAACGTTACTGTTCCTAATATAATAGGAAAAGATAAATATCAAATTTTAGTTTTCGTTATTACATAAATATTATAATATCTAAATCTGAATTTAAACACTTCATTGAAGCACAGAGAAATTCATTTTTATAAAATTATAGTCTTAGGCATTGCTCAACAACCGATTGGTTGTGTCCAAGTTATAACAAATCTGATATCCCAAGAAAATCCCCAATAAAAAAACACATAAAAAGACAAAAGAAAAAAAAATAGCCCAACAAAAATTCGGCTTCAAAACCCCCTCCCACCCTCCCCTCAACAAATCTCCCTCCACTACATCGGCGGAGCCTCCAATACTCCCTCACCAACCCCCGCTCACACATCTGAGATCTGGCAAAATGCAGAGCAGTTCGTTCACTCTCTCCAATTCGATTTCAAATCTCAAGTCTCGTAATCACCGATTGAGTACTGGTTATGCTCCGTTGCCCTTGAAATCATCGATTACTTTTGGCTCCATCAATGGTTCATCCACTCGTAGATTGCCTTCAATTCGCTGTTCCTCTTCACCTAGGAAGCTAGGTGATTGGATTTCAACTCCCTCGCCGGTTCCGGAGCGTGAATCTGATGGTTTCGAGGTTAAAGCTGCGTCGGTTCCTGAAAGTGCCGACGGCGCTGAGGCGGCGGCTGCGAGGAAGTCGAAGTTGGCTGAAACAATTGTGCTAGGATCATTGTTTGGGCTTTGGTACCTTTTCAATATCTACTTTAATATCTATAACAAGCAGGTTTGTAATTCGTTCCGTTTTTCACCGTCTTTCTATTTAAAGTCTCTTGTATTCTATACGTCATGTTCCTTAAGAGATTGTGGCTTGGATTACACATGGTGTACCAAACGGCAGGTTTCTGATTCAATCGATGCATATAATATTCCTGCATGTTTTTAGATACATGTGAAATGCTTTATAAATTGTCGATTTATAGGCCGGAGTTTTCTATATGTGTGATAGAATAATACATACGTTTGTTTTCTTAATCGCGTTCTTTTACAGTTGTAGTAACTAAGTAGAATCTGTTCATGCAAGGTTTAATTATTTTGAAAGATCCATCACAGGAAAACTTAGCTCAATTCGGTAATTTTTGGTGATTTAAACTTGTTGTGTAATATTAGAACTTCTCCTATCTAGCATTGTTCATATGCATTTTAATTATTTCTTAGCATATCCTTGACTTTGAATTTACTGATTACAATTTTATTGATGAACTTAGAGCAGGCCAGCACGGTAGGATATAGGTGCATTTTTTTTATTCCAATTGTAGCAGTAGGATATGACCAAATGAAGCAATACCATACATGAAAGAAAAAGATGCATTGAGATTTGATTTCTTTTCAATCTTTAATCGGCTTGTGTACTTGAAAAGTAATAACATTTTTCGATGCAGGTTTTGAAAGTCTTCCCCAATCCTATAACTGTCACCACAGTTCAGTTTGCTGTTGGAAGTGTCATTGTATTTTTGATGTGGACATTAAATCTTCACAAACGACCAAAAATCAGTGGTGCACAGGTACATCATCATCATCAATTCATCATCATTATGAAGGAACATATTTGTCTCTTAACATCATCTTTTCTGATACTTATTATTACTTGCTAACTTTCAGCTTCTAGCAATCCTGCCACTGGCTATGGTACACACCTTAGGCAATCTTTTCACAAACATGAGTCTTGGAAAAGTTGCTGTTTCATTTACTCACACAATCAAAGCCATGGAGCCATTTTTCTCAGTTGTGTTGTCTGCTATGTTTCTAGGAGAGGTATGCTTCTATCAATTATCAAACATCTTTTGTATTCCAATCTTCTAATCTCTACACATTAAATGCTGTATTCTTTATTATCTATCCTACACCACAGATGCCAACACCATGGGTGGTTACTTCCCTTTTACCTATTGCTGGTGGAGTTGCTCTTGCCTCAATGACTGAGGCCTCATTCAATTGGTGAGAACAGAATATATATTTTTGATATTTTTCTTTCATCTTCCTAAAATATATTTATATATATATTTTATTTCATGCATTATTTCTATAATCTGATCATTGCGTTTGGTAAACAGGGCTGGATTTTGGAGTGCAATGGCATCCAATTTGTCAAATCAATCGCGTAATGTCCTCAGCAAGAAATTTATGGTTAAGAAAGAGGTACTTTCTGCAAACACTTTTATTTTGTTCATTATTTGACTTGTTGATTGTATTTGTATGTGTATTCACTTGTTTATCTTTTCACAGGAATCATTGGACAATATTACCCTCTTCTCAGTTATAACAGTCATGTCACTTTTCTTGTTGGCTCCTGTTACTTTCTTCACTGAAGGAGTTAGGGTTACTCCCGCGTATCTGCAGGCTGCTGTGAGTATTTATTTATTAAAAGTAGACATTGTTTTTTAATTTGTTATTTCTGGCTTATATTTATAAGCTTATTTCCCTTTGATCTTTTTAGGGGTTGAACGTGAAACAAGTGTACATTAGGTCTCTTCTTGCTGCAATCTGCTTCCATGCATATCAGCAGGTAACTAACTAGTATTCCTTTTAGTATAAAAAGGAATCCATTTTGTTAATTTAAGAAACTTAAAAAGACAATTTTACCCTTGATGCAGGTTTCCTATATGATTTTACAAAGGGTATCTCCAGTGACACACTCTGTTGGCAACTGTGTGAAACGTGTGGTGGTGATTGTGACATCTGTTCTTTTCTTCCGAACACCTGTCTCACCTATCAACTCCATTGGTAAACTAACTTTCGTGTTAAATTACGATAAAGCCCCTTTTGTATTTTTCCGATTTATACTCAAAATGCACAATTGTCATTAATTTTAATTTAACTTTCAGGGACCGGAGTTGCTCTTGCTGGAGTCTTCCTATACTCGCAGGTGAAGCGCTTAAAGCCCAAAACCAAAACTGCTTGAACTTAAATCCGAATAAAAAAAAAAAAAAGAAATGAGATTTTTGGGTAATAGCTTATGTGTATTTTAGATGACATTGTGTTTCGGGACATAAATCCTATCTTCTTTTAAACCCTGAGTGCATGTTTTCTTACATTATTGGTTTAGTACTATTTTCAAAGCACAATGTACAACCTTTTATTGCATTGAAATTTGAAAATCCCCCCCATCATTATTCATTCATTAGTTATTATATTTATAACTATATATGTATTAAAGATTCACCTGCGAAATCATCTCCATCAAATCAATTTCCTTCTTCACATCACCTTGCAAATACGAATCCACCTCCTCACCACCATTGTTACAGTTGGAAGGTAAATCATCAAGCAATGAGTCGATATCATTATCCCATTCAAGCAACTTCTCATCCATGGCGAATTCCGGGACCTCGTTGTAATCAAAATCATCCCCGAGATTACTATGATTTGAATTCATTCTTCCCCTTGGTAAATTCAAGCTCTTTATGTAGTTTTGCAAAATAGGGCTTGGCCTTGGCCATTTTGATCGACATTTTCGCTTCGTGTATTGCCTTCTCTTTGTTGCGTTCCAATGGTTTTTAGTTGAGTTTTCAGTTCTTCCTGGAAGTTTCTTTGCTATTTCTGACCATTTGTTTCCCACCTCTGCGTGTGCTGCAATCAATATTCGATCTTCTTCCTCTGTCCAAAAATCCTTCTACGAATATATCATTTTCAGATTTGTCACTGTTAATAACCTAATTTGAATGAATTCAAACATCGTTTTTTTTAACTAAGTTAATAAACATTTTTAGAGAAAAAAAAATTGATATAAGAAAAGCAATTCCAAACACCCCTTATAATGATTTACATGTGCAAAGCTTAACTTGACAACATGATATTAGGCAATTTACATGTGAATGACTATCATGATATCAATTGTTTTGATCCAAAGATTGTCATGTGTTTCTACATCCTTCAAGTCTTTTAGGGTCTATTTGTTGTGGAAAACTGTATTCAGTTTGGAAAAGTGTTATGGAAAAAAAGTTATTTTTTTTTTTTGGAAAATTAAAAAAATAATATTAAACTCAGCCACATATATTTAACAAACCTTGATGTCAGGTCGAAGATGATTGTGCCATCGCTCCCTGCATTGTTTTCCAATCCTTCCTTTCAACTTCTGAGCGATATATGACCATTTTCTCACCCCATATTTCTCCACCATTTCCTTTAAAATCCTGCATATTTCCTCAACCAACCATGCATATATTAGCATTCACTATGTTTTCTCCATTAATAATTCATTATAGGGCACAAATATGTGTCTGAATATTAACATTGACTGATCTAGATAAATATTCCAATCGGGATTCAATGTTCAAATGAAATTAGCTTAAACTCAAGCTTTTATAATTGCACATATTTTTAGGTATACATCAATAAACTTAATATGTCAAATGAAATTAGTTAAAACCCCAAGTTTGACAAATTAAGTTTATTTCCTCATATTTTCATATTTTTTTTTTTTTTTTTTTTTTTTTTTTGCAATAGTTCAAGAATCGATGAAATATATTTACATATTTTACAACATGCATTTTGAGATAATATTAGTGGGGTTCATTCACCTCAGGATCATGGTAGTTTTATGAATTAACTGTGAAAAATAGTTAACATTATATCTTTTTTAAAGGGAAACGGAAAATAACACACAAAAATATGAAAATTTAAACTTCTAACTCTTAATGTAAAATTCATTCGACAATAGCAAGGATTCTGTTTATATTCAAACTTTAGGTAATCTTTGGAGTACATTACCTGTCTTCTTCTCTAGTCCATTGTCCTTTGGATGAATTTGTCGTATTTTTCCCTTTATACGTCTTTCTGTTACCTTTCTCGATTCCATTGTCAGCAGTGACACATGATCCTTCATCTGACACAAAGAATCTCATGGGTTTCGGATCTTGAATCGGGCATTCCAAACGGTTCGAAAAATCCCAACCCGTGAAGCTTTTGTCACAATTATTTAAATTCATCACCATTTCAACATCATTTACATGTTCAAGAGGTTTAAACTGATACAGTTCAAGATCATTTGAACCTAACCCATATGACAATGGCCCAAACGGGTCATAACCCTCAACATGGGTTGCATAATCCGGATGAAAAGATGAACCCGCTAGACAAAGATTGTCGAGTTGGTGTAAATCTTGAAAGACTCCTTTTGTGTCCACATAAAAATCAACTTCATTTTGGGAAATAAGATCCATGGGAGAGATTAGAGCATTGAGGAACTTATGAACACAAAGGTTAGAGAGAGTGATGGTCCATCTTGTCTCTTTATGTTAAACTCCAATTTGTTTACTTTTGTTGGTATTTAATAGGTAAGGAATTAATTAAGAGCAAACATTAAATGATGTTTGTGTTGATCCAATGGCTAGGATTAGCTTATGACCAAAATTAAATTGGTCAAATTACACAATAAACCTTTTCTTTATAACCATATTCGAGATATTAAACTTTTGTCTCGTCTATTGACCCAAAATTTACTGTCCACTATTAAGTGTATTAATTAAGTCTAAGACCGAATGAAATGTAATTATTTTAACAACCTCATAATCATGTACTATTTAGCAAGTGACTTAAAAAAAAAAAAAAGAATGACCGAGGCTTTACAACTTTAGAACAAAAAATTTCAATTACATTATTTTGTAGTTTAAAAAAACTTAAACAAATTATTTTGCAATTGTAATTCATAACGGTATATTTCTCTAGATATTATTAAACTTATTAATCATATTTTTATACCCTCTTTAGTTATATAAAATATAAGTTGCCCTGTCGTTTATTAATCCCATTTTTTTATCATGCATGTTTGTTAATTTCAAGAAAATCAGACATAAGTGATATTTGATAAAATTATGAAAATATAAACATATGATTAAGAAATATTCAGATTCGCGTATATAATAAAAAAATATAAAAACAAAATTATGTTTTCCTGTATTTTTTCCAAAATGGAGCATTCTTCCTATTTATGGACAATAAAATCCTGAATTTATATCAACACTTAAATGCCATTAGGATGTTTGTATTTTCATGAACACCATTGTACTTTGTTAGTTGACTCATGAACATGTCAATTATTTAAATTGACAAACATACCCTTTAGTCCATAAAAATGATAGAGAAAGCTTATAATAGTAGCCAATTAAAAAATAGCGAATTGATTGTCTTTAATTAACAAGAATTGAATGAGGTGAGAGTTACATTCGGCAGTTTATTTGAATTAATTATGGACATCAAATTTTCTTTATTACATCCGTAGTTTTTTTTTTGGAACTGTCCAATGAGATATATTAATAGAAGGAAAAAAAAGCAGCCACAGTCAGTGGCATACAAAAGTTCAGTTCAAACACAAAAGCAAAATAAAACAGGTAAACTAAAGCAAAAGGAAGAATATTCAAAAAAACAAAGGGCATTGAGACCATGATGCCCAATTCAGCCTGTCAATTTTTTCCCTGTTTTTCACCCAGAGATAAACCACTGATTTAATGATATCAGTGACTTTATCCGGTGGTAGCCGGTTTTTCTTGAAGACCTTTTCGTTCCTTGATTTCCAAATACTCCATAATGTTCCATAATAAATAGCTAAGATTATCTTTCTCCTCTTTTTGCACACCCCCCATTGAGAGATGGAATCCACTACATCCTTTACCGTGTGGAGTGGTACCAATTGTGTATTACACCATCTTGATACCCCTTCCAAGACACTCCTAGCATAAGTGCAATCCACCAGGACATGATCAGAACCTTCTTCAGATTCGTTGCACATCCGTAGTTAATCTTATTTTAATTCTCAATTCTTTCCACATAAAACATAATGAAAAAAACATGAAGAAACCTGACCCTGCTTTCCAAAACTAGACTCTGATTTTAAAAGATAAAAATACATTCATATCCTTTCAAACCTTAAATATTACTTGTATGTCCTTACAAATTTTAAAACTACATGTATATCCTTTTGAAACTATAAAATTTACATATATATATCCAAACACATATTTTAATTAGGATTAAACCAATTTAATATTGAATAACTTATTTATAACTGAAAATACCATGTGATATTACTAAACTAGCCTTCTGAAATTAAAGATTAAGATTAAAGATGAAACCTAATTAAATACTAAAAATCTTCCTGTGCGTCGTTTCTTCGTAATCTACAAATATTTCTTACAGTACCCGGTATGGGCCTCAACGAGAAGAGACGAGGCTGAGGTGGCAAGGCGCAACACCGTAACGGGGGGAACACCGCCCCTCCCAACTCGTTGCATCTCGTCGAGCAAATCTCGTGGCCATCGCAACGACTTGAAACGGGAAAAAAATGACTGTTGTTGGCTTATGACCGTTTGCAACCGTCAATATTCAAACAATTTTTTTTTTACCTTTTTACCTTCAAAAAGTTGGTGTTGAATCTTGTTGCTCATTTCCCCACTTGGTGTTATAACACCATTTGCCTATGCGGCATGTGAGGTGGCACAACCTGGTGTTGCACCTTGTTGCCCACACCTATGGTCGTTGACCTTACGTACCAATCGTTTATGTAGAAAAATAAACGATAGCAGAAAGAAAGTAATATTTAATGCAAAGGAGCTAAACGATGGGTAATAGGAGGGAAGTAATGGAAACCACATCCATTTGATCATTTGATGTGAGGCAAACTCGTTGGCTATTCCATTACATAGTTTTTCTCTATTATCTACATTTTATTTTTTTCCCCACACTTAAAAAGAACAAATAGAAAATACAGATTTTGGAGCCTTTAATCCCAAAAGTCTACATCTTTGGTATGGCAAGGTTAAAGACGATTGATAATCTTCATACCTTGCAACGAGGAAGAATTCAGGCGCAAGAACTTTTTAATTAGATTTAATCCTAATTTTATATTTAGAAGGATATTTTAGTACAATCATATATGGAATTTTGATATTTAGATAAAAAAATTATTAAATTAATTTAAACCTAATTAAATTATGAGTTTGGATGTAAATGTGAATTTTATAGTTTGCGAAGGATATATAAGTAATTTTAAAGTTTGTAAGGATATATAAGTAATATTTAAAGTTTGTAAGAATATAAATGAAATTCTGTCATAAAAAAACTTTCATTTATTAGAGAGGATTAATTCTCTTTTTTAATCTATTTTCTTAATTTTGACACTTGTCGTGATTAGAAAAATTAGTTGGAACAAAGATAAGAGAATATTTGATTTTTCTTTTTTTAATCAATTATTTAATCACCATATTTCCATTTTGGTATCAAATATCCTCCTATCTTTGTTCCAACTAATTTTTTCTAATCATGACAAGTCTCAAAATTAAGAAAAAAGATTAAAAAAGAGAATTATTAATCCTCTCTAATAAATGAAAGTTTTTTTTGCCACATGTCTTCTTCTCCTTTATTTTGCCACATGGGTTTTTTTTTTTTTTTTTCATTTTCTTATTTTACACTTGCCATTTTTTGAGGTTTTTCATTCTTACATTAAATTTCCATAATTTACGGTTATATATATGGAAGGTTATCATTCTATTCATGTAAGGTTATCATTTTATTAATTTGAAAATAAATTCACATAAATGTTACAAACTCATTGGTTTACTTTCTATATCAATTACTTTATAAAATGTTTAATGTTTACATATTGATATTAAACTTTTTATTTTTAATAAACACATATAATACATGGGTCTCATACCTAATGGATTTCATATATCATTATTTATAAAAGTGAGAAGATAAGTAAGAACAAAAGATAAGTAAATATTCTAAAAAAATGTATTATATATAGGTTATATGTATTGTACAATTAAAAAAGGCAATGCATTTTTTAGTAATTATATTTGTAAAATTATTACAAACTAATTCTAGTTCTTGCCAAAAGACAAAAGGAACATTAGAAATATGCCATTTTAAGAGATTTACATATTTTACCAATAAAAAAGGTTATCTAAAATTATTCCTTTTGAAATTTTGTAAATGATAAAAATCTCTAAGGTGTTCTTTGTTTTTCAGAAAAATGTCAGCAATTATGTCTGAGGGCGGAAAATACATCTACGTCTGTGGAGCTTAGAAGTACGTTTGTTTTTAACAGTCTGCAGACGTCAAAACGTCTGTGTGTTAAAAGACTTGGACCAATGTCTTCGAACGGGAAGACCTTTTTTCGTAGACCTCTATATAAAAAAAAACTTAAACCTAAATTAGGTCGACACTTTATCCTTCAAAAAAAGAATGTCGCATTTCCAACAATCTGTTCTGAGACGTCTTCTCCGCGCGATCGCTTTTTATCCGAGTACCACCATCATCGTTCCTGTTCCTGCTCCCATCGCCGCCCACGGTAGTCTACTCCCATCGTTGTTTCTCTCTCTGCCAACAGCGCATCTGCCTTCGTCGGATGTTTTATCAGGTAATCAGAATTTTTTTTCTTTGGTATTGCTGCAAGTTCTTTGAATGTGTATGTGTATGATGTCATGATGATGTCTACATGTGTATGAGCTTTCTTTCGTCGCATCTACCTTCTTCCTTTGGCATTGTTGCAAGTTCAAATGTTGCCTTCCTTTGGTTGAAATCTAATTTTATACAAATTAGTAAACAAGCGGATGAAATTTTTTTAAACTATGTGAATTTTAGTTGAAATCTGAAGTTTCTATCGATGTGTATTATGTTTATTACTTACAACATGCTTGTATCAATGTTTATACTATTTTATGAACTTAAAATTTGTTTTTATGAACTTGAAATCTGTTTTTATGTAGATTACAATGATAGTTGCTACATGATAGATGTTTATACGAATCTTAATACATGATAGTTATTTAAGTTGTTTATATGAAGTTTGATATGTGTTTATAATTAATATGTAGCTTGTGTAAATAGGTGAGAAAACCCAATGGTCCCATGAACAATTAAAGTGTTTACTCGATACGTGCATCGAAGAAGTTAACAAGGTTGATAGAAAAAGTTTAAGCATGCACAAAGATTCATGGATTAAATTAGGAAGTGTTCTTAAAGAAAAATTTGGTATGGAATTGTCCCAAAAGCAAATGAAAAATACTTATGATAATCTATTGGATGAACTTATTTGAAAAACAAAACTAGAAATATGTATAACCCTCAATCAAACATGTTCAACTTAATGTCTGAATAGTGGGATGAATTTAAGATGGTATTTTTTTAAATTTCGGTGTGTGTGTGTGTAAAAATATAATATTTTTATATTATTGATAACAATTTTGGTTTAGGGTTACCCGAAGGCTGCAATACTGGAAACACATCCATTACCTTATCTAGAGCTTTGTGCATATTTGTTCGATGGAAGTAGTGCCACGGGTAATTTGAAGTGGACCTCAAGCCAAACAAGCAAAACAAGCCAAACAACCTAAACTATATCAGGAAATGGATCATCTTCTTGTCATGTCCAACCATTTTAGCTTATGGGCGCCTCTTTTTTTGCATTAGATGATGATGCCACTTCCCATTATACTAGTGAGCCTTTTCCCGATCCACCTTTTGTTGCTTCTCCACATAATAATAAGCCCAACAAGAGGGCTAAACCCTCAAATCCTAGAGCTACTAGTGGCTCACCTTCTACTCCTTCCGATTCCTCTTCTAAAACTTCTATCACTGCTGATGATGTAGCACTTGATATGCAAAAATCTCTACATCATTTGATGAAAGTGCCAATAGGGCCAACAATTCCTGAATGTTTAGATGGCTATGTTTTTATGATGATCGTTCATAATCAACGTTATGTGATTATCAAGCGTAGTTTTCAACACTCAAAGAAAACGATTCATAATTTTTTTTATGAAGTGTTGGATAAAATGATGTTATTCGCCAAAGATATGATAGTACTAACTACGTTTAATCCGAATCCAAACATTCCGGGACATAACAAGAGGCTACGACCGGTTTTTAAAGGAGCGGTTAGTGTACTTGATGACACTTTGATACATGCCATTGTCCCTACTATGAAACAAGATTTACATAGAGGTAAAGGAAAAGGTGATTGTTACCAAAACGTATTGGCAGTTTGTGACTTCAACATGATTTTTATGATTTTTATATTTATTGTGGCCGGATGGGAAGGGGTAGCACATGATTTTAGAATACTATCAGAAGCATTAGCAGATCGACATGCACCATTCTCATTTACACCGCCAGGTAAGTTTAAGGGTTTTAATTTTTTTATATCTTACTTTGAAAACTGATTATTTATTTGCATTTTTTACAAAAAATATTATCTTTGTGATGTTGCATATGCACATAATCGAGGATTTATGGCTCTCTATCATAATGTGATGTATTGGCTTGGAGATTTTCGTCAGAGACGTGCATTAATCTGTAAAGAAAAATTTAACCATGCACATGCAAAACTTCAGAACGTTATTGAACGTGTTTTTGGTGTCTTGAAAGCATGATTCCCTAAATTGAAGAGGATGACACCATTTCTGTTGGTTACACAAAGAAACATTACCATTGCATGTTTTGTGCTTCATATTTTTATAAGGAAAGAGGGATTGAATGATGAATACTTTGTTGGATATGATGAACCCAATGTCCCGTTTTGAAATAACAATGTGCTCGTTGATGATAATGAAGACGATGTTCCAACACATGGTACTACAACAGATTGTGAATATATGACTCAGTTACGGGATGAAATTGTTGAGCAGTTAATACGAAATATGGAATGAATTATTTTAAATATAATTGTAATTTTAAGACTAAAATTGTTATTGTAAGACTAAAATTATTGTGATTGTTATTTTAGTTTAGTGTTCTAAGACTTGAATTATTTAAATTTTGGGGTTGAAAAATCTAAGACTTGAATTATCTAAATCTCGATGTTGAAAAATTTAATTTATGTTTGTAAAACTAGTTTATTTAAATTCTAGTTTATTTCAACGGGCGTTAAAAAACAAATAGTATTCTTCTTGCTGACCGCAGATATTTTGTCCACCTCTTTTTATGCAAAGGCTTGCAAACGTGGTCCACAGACTGCAGCTGTTTTGACTCTGAAAAACAAATAGCACCTAAAGTTTTACTATTCAATGACATACAATTTTCCGCCCCTCAAAAATCAACTTATAATTTTTCTTTGTTTCAAAAAAAAAAAAAAACTCAATCTTGGCTTCAAACACAAAACAGAACAATAAAAAAAAAGTTTATTCCATTATAAAATTGATGACTTGTTTTCTGCCCAAAGACCACACACATACATTAAATTAAAAAGAAACACTCACAACATTCTACATCTTATATCACAATAACAACATAATTAATTTACACAAATAAGAAACCTCTCAAGCACTCAAAAGTTTTCAAGAAGAAGAGCTTTCACCAAGATTTGATGGACCAGGACTCGGTGTTTGCTTGATTTCTATCCCTTTTCCAACCGATCCTGGGCTCCTTCCACGTGGACTGTAAGTCTGCTGACGTGGACTATAAGTATGCTGCTGACTTGGACTGGTGTAAGTTTGCTGACGTGGACTATAAGCAGGCAGCATTTGTCGGGGAGTTTGGGTTGAACTTGTTATTTTTGGACTGTTGGAATGACGGATCTCTCCTCGGCTTCTTGTTATGATTCCATCAAGAACCTCTGCACTATCCATTTGGGATGTTCTTGATTGAGCATCATCATCCTGTAAAACACAACAAATTATATAAACAAAAGTAATTAGTAGGTTTCTTTATGCAAAATGCAAGAAGAAAGTTGAGTTAATTACACGAAATGCCATATTGTAGGTGGTGGGAGGGGCTTCTTCATATTCAGCAGCATCCAAATCTTGAAGATGTGCGCTTTTGAAAAGTTTTGGAAGCAAATATTGTCTTGCAGGAACAAGCAGCATGATCAAAAGTGGGAAAAGAACACTCGCAATTGGAATCCATGTTATGCCAAAACAAGCCAATAAGTAAACCGTTTGAAACAATGTGAACCAAGCAACTGTTTTGAATGGCACACTTTCTACAAAACTCGCATGATTTTCTTCCAACACCCTGACAATAAATGAAATAGCAACAGAATTAAAGATCTGAACTGAAAGTATATATATAACCATAGGGACTAAAGTTGTAATTTACTTAAAATATACAGGAACTACAAAACTTACTTGTATCTTCGACTTGGAGCAGTGAAAAGTAATAAGATTCGTTCCCAAAATTGATTACCAGGCAAGCTTTCAATCGCCATGAAAGCAAAGTAACCCCAAAGAACCGAAGTCGGAATCTTTTTAAGAACCGGCATCGCAGCCAGACAACCACCAACCATCACCGCTTGTAGCAGATTGCTCAGTCGTTGCTCCTTCACTTCAACGTGCAATAAATCATCGACATCTTTATCTACATCAAACACGCTTTCATCAACAGCTGCATCCATGTAACCACCACTCGACGCTTGTTGTATTGTAGATTCTTTTAGCTCTTTCAATCCCTAATGTTTAAAAGTTAAAACCCTAATTGAATTATTACACCCGATCGAATAATGCAATCTCAGATAATATTCTTTGAAGTAATTTCATTTACCAGAGTTGATGGATTCTGATATACGAGTGGAGTTTGCATTTCGTTGTATGCTTGTTGCATATTTCGGTATAATTCACCCAAGTTTGTATTTTGGCGTATGCTTCTTCGAGCTGTGGATACAAGTTTATTTCGTAGAAGCTGTTTCAACAAGACCAAAGCATATTGTAAACTACCATTAACAACTGGGTAAATTTTACGCATGAAATAGCAAGATACTTTCATTTTTTTCCCTTTTACAACATTGTACTTTGTAAAATCAACCCAATTATTATTATAATTATGTCATCCAAATCCAAATACAAAAACAATTTCACTGCTTCGATTGGGTAATAAGAAAAATGTTGTAATAGAAAGAAATGAGAGTAAACAAATAAATAAAAGTACATTGCTATTTTTTAATTTCAAAGTACCAAACATGATAATATAAACTACTTCCACCACAAAGAAAGTACAGACAATTGACTTTTGTGTGTCGAATAAGTTATTATTAATTTGAAAGTTACACAAAAATATATATATTTCGTGTAGAAAAAATCAATAAACAATTGAACTACGTAAAGAATATAACTATAAAAAAGAAAAGAATTGGAGTTTATGCTTATGCTTGAATCATAATGTCAAAAGTTGACTCTTTTAGCGGGGACAAAAGTGGACTCTTTTAGTTTTTAATATATATATATAAGTTTAAAAAAATAATAATAATAATAATAATGATCACATGTAAGTGTTTAAAGAAAGAAGAATGGCCTAGAGGTGGACAATATAGTTTAAAATATATTACAGACACATGCATGCGTATTCACAATCATACATCATCAATAGTTTGACCAATTAGTTTAAGAGGAAAAAGATATCTTATTTTTTTAGTTGAAAATGAAATAAATAATATTACCTGATGTTTTAGGGTGGCTAAGCTCTTTGTGTGCATTGGAGATTGTGGAATAACTCCATTGGCAGGAGGAATGCCAATTAGCCCACATAATAATGTCTGATACAAACAAACAAAAAAAAAGGAAGAATTATACATTTTGTAAATTGCATTAAGGTCATAATTAGCATTAAGGGTGTCTTACCAAAAAGCCTAAAAGAAGAAGGTCATAATGGTATGAAGGTGGCTTCTTTAAATTAAACTCATTTTGTTGTGCAAGTTGAGATGCAACACTGTGATCAAAATAGTAGAGAACTGCAATCATGGTGGCTGGAACAACAGCTCCAATGATATAAACAAGAGGAACATTCAACATATCCTGCAAACAGATTACAAATATCAAAAAACAAAAATTAAAATCTGTTTTTGTTCATGTAAAATTATAAGTAAAAAAAATAAATAAAAAGGCACCTTTGCAACAGTCCAATTTGTATAAGCACCATGAGACCATGGATTTGGACTATAAAGTCGCCTCGGTATTCCTTCCGGAACATTCTTAGTTGGTATGTATGAGACACCTGTCCAAATAACCACCATAAGAGGGACTCCATAATCCGCAATGAATCCCCTTAGCCATCCTTTTAAAACATAAAATCAAAAGAGTCAACAAAAGTCAACAAGCAAGACACTATTATGTGATTGTGAAATACCAAAAATGCCCACCCGTCCCGTAGCGCCATGACCTTGCTTTACGGCTTTTTAAAGAAGTTAAAAGAAGGCCAAAAGACAAAACCAATGCAAACATTCCGTTTCCAAAACGCCATGAAGGTTGAAATGCGGGTTGACTGGGATTTTGACTTTTTGGTATACCAAATTCCTCCACAACTCCCTACAAAATCACAATTAGGTTATTATGGTTTGATTGGAAAAAATAAAGTATTAGTGGTTTAAAGGTATTATACTCACTTTAATAGCTTGTTGCATAAAAAGCATTGCAATTAGAAGACCAAACAATTCACCAGCTATTCTTGTGAATCTATTGATAATAGAACATGCACCAAGAATAGACAGCAAAACCAACAGAAAAGCCGTCCACACACAGACCCTGTTTTCAAAATAAAAAACTTTATTAAATTTTTTTATTTTTTATTTTTATGACAAAAAATGTTGTCAAAATTACCATGCGGTCCATGCTAAGAAAAGAGGCTTTCCAAGGTCTTTTTGGTCTTTAGCAAACTTGAACATAAAAGTGTACATTAACACAGTTGGCTCAGCAACACCTAATATAAGAAGTGGTTGCCCTCCAACTATCGAGTGAATGATGCCACATATTGCTGTTGATGCTAAAGTTTGCACTGCTGTTAGGCTTCCCTCTGTATCACATCAATATTATAAATTCAACTTTTTAGCCTTATATTCACCATTTACACAAACTCACAATATCAAAAATCAAAATCACAAAACTTTACCAGTATCCCTTTCTAGCTGCTCCCCAAAAGATATAACTGGAATTGCTGAAGCAAAGAATATATATGTTGTTGGAGCCAAAATCCTAATTAAAAAAAAAAAAACATTATGTCTAAAAGCGTAAGAACAAAATATATGTCATAATAAACCCATAAGAAAATTCCATGGTTATGACTAAAATTACTAAAAGAATCACGAACCTGATACCAGCCCGGATGCCACCTGTCCAGTCTTGTTTGTAGCACAGTAATCTTCCTTTGAGATCGTTACTGATTCCACGGAAAGGAACAAATGTTTCTTCCATAAAGATACAATATTTTGGTTTTATATAGTTTCTTTTAATATATATATATATATATATATATATATATACATATATATATATATATATGATGGTTTTTCTTCTTTATCGAAGAAAGAAAAGGCTTGAGAGGCTAAGAACACACCGATTCAAACGTGCATACAGAAGATATGTGTATAAATGGGCAGAAATACAAGGGATTTTGCTTCATCACTAAAAGTGTGATGATCGAAATATTTATATTTAGTCATCTGTGTGTTGTTATGTGATGAGTGATGATCCCCATGTAATCGATGAAAGTTGTAATATGTGCAATTGCTAATTACTATTACATCTTAGGGGGGTCAGTAAAGAATCAATGAGTATATATTGTTTGAATAATCAAAGAATCAAGTTATGAATGTGAAATAGAATACGTGTTACAGATATTAACGGAGTGAATTCATTGGTAGTCAATGAGTTGATAAATTAACGAAATAGCAAAGCACTCCCCATCTATAGAGATCGCTCGACTAACGGTTGACTTGATCAAACAGCAGATCCATCATCTTAATATACTTCTTTGATCAAGCAAAAAGAAAGGAATTTCATCAAACAGTTGGAATGCAGTGGAAATAACAAGAACAGTTACATGTTATGAACGTTGAAGAAAGAGACAAGTTTCAAGGTGAAAAAATGGAAGCCAGAGAAAAGATCAAAACTCTAACGAGTCCCCATTGACTAAAACAAGAATTTATATTAATTCAAGCGAATGGGTATCTCCAAAAACAGAGAAAGTTTGATTCTTGTGTGAAACTAACGAGAATTCATGGCTAAGATATGAAAACTTAGATTCAGACGAGAGTAGAGCAAGTGGGCATTAGCTAAACAGAGAGAACGATCCGAAAGAGTAGTAATCAATTTGCTGTTACATTATAATCACAAAAGAGAATCAAACCAGAAATTCAGCAGAAGAACATGCGCTTACGTAACCTTCAATTTACATGAAATTGGAAATGTAGCCAAATCGATTCAAAGAACAACACGAAGAGAAGAAGGCAGAGGGGATTGGGAGAGAAAAAGGAAGTCGTTTAGGCAAGAAACTATGCGAATATTAATGAGAGAGATAATTTGTGGTCAATGGTGAGTGAACATATAAATAAACACTTCGTCCTGCTTCTGTTCAAGAGAAAACAAACCCAACACGCATAATTTAGGAGATAGAAAGAGAAAGTATAAGAATTCAAGGGGGAAAGTTACGAATTTCGGTTAAAATTAGTAGCATAGTGTAACACTGTGATTGGAACGACATCATACAGCAATGGCGGTATAGAAATTGATGGGGGGAGGAAGTGCAAGGGGTCAAAATCATGATGCAACCGAAAGGTTTCAGTTATAACCATAGGAAAGGATACGTATGCCATATAACTTAGCCTAATTACAATTCAATCAATGGGCTATGCCTATTTGATGGTGGTTTTTGGAAATAATTATTTAATGTCAAATAATTAGATAAACAGTTATGATAAAATATTTACAAATTTACATAAATGGTTACTGTGATTTTTAGTTTTAATTTCATATAAAATGACTTTTAAAAGGCCCCGACAAACTCACACTGCCCACCCAACCTTCTTTAAAAAATAAAAAAATATTTGTCGAAATTAGTTTCTAAATATCTAAATATCATATTTATCGTTTATAAAATTTTATAATATCATATAGGTCATTCCTAAACATCAAAATTTCATATATGTTCTTCTTAAATATCAAAATATTATATATGACATTCTTAAATATAAAAATATCAATAATAATGTCTAAAATATCCTCAATCTACAACATGCCGATAATTAACAACAAAAAACTAAGCAATCAATGCATACCTTCCATGGAAATTGTTGAAGATGAAGCGTTTTGTTGTCAAGAGAGCGACATTACAACAATTTAGAAGTCACGTTCAATTATTATAGACGTAGGGATAATATGATTACATTTTTTAATTATTATAATAAATTCTAAGATATAAAAATTGATTATAAACTATTAAAAACATTGAAATTTTTTTTGGACAAATATGATATTTTGAATCTTTGTGAAGGGTAAATATGATATTTTGATGTTTAAGAATGATATATATAAAATTCTCCCAAAAAAATACATCAACTCCATGAGCAAAGCTTCTAAGACCATCTCCAACCCATCTTTATTTTTTTTTCCCTATAAACGATGTAAAAAATAAGGTAAACAACATTTCATCTCCAACTTTATTTCATTTTTTACTTTATTTTTTAAACCAAAAAATATATATCTAGTATATTCTATTTATATATATATATATATATATATATATATATATATATGTTAAATTTTAATTAGTAGAAGGTTTGTATTTGAATATATATATAAGTATTGAATATATATATATATATATATATATATATATATATATTCAAATACAACCCTTCTACTAATTAAAATTTAACATATATATATATATATATATATATATATATATATATATATATATATCTTTTTCATTACAATTATATTAAATAAATAAGATTATATTTATAAAACACTTATAAATAAATATTATAAATGCAATTATATAAATATTACACAACTTTTATCTTTAATACGTTTATATCGAGCAAGAAATTGTTGGAATTGACTATCTTCATTTCATCATCATTTCAACCTCTATCAATGGTACTTCTCTTGTAGCTCCAATTGATGCATTAAGATCACGTTCATCCTTGATAAGCTTTTGTAATATACGTTATCGTGTTTAATAGCATATGTTATCTTGTTTGTGATATATATTTTAATTATAAGTTTTTGTAAAAACGTTATCGTGTTTTAAAATTTCAATATGTATTTAAAATTTTATATAAATTTGATACACAAAAAACAAACTTTATATTTATAATTAATTAATATAATTTAATATATAACAAAATATTATAAATATTAAACATTCCATTTAAATTATAATTAGATAAAAATAACTAGAAATGTATAGAATAAGAAGAGAATGACTAAAATCAACAACTCAAACTTCAATTTCATTTTTTGATAAATGAATAGTGTTCCTCCATATTTGGTGGAATACTATTAATCTCTACCAAAATAGACATAGAAATAGAGTACGGTTGGAGGAAAATGTAAGGAAATGGAGTTTGATGGTGAGTTGGAGATGCTCTAACTTAACTCTTAACCTCTACAAATCAAGCCTTAGAAATCCAAATCTAAAAACAACTTGTGGATTGCAAACCCAACCTAAACACAAAATACAACTAGATAGTATCCCAAAGTGTTCGAGAACTCTTTAAGGAGGAAAAACATGTCTACGTAAAAAAATATATCCTCCGAGTCTGATGTGTTGCCTTGTGTTTATCTCTCATCCTCTCCTTGAAGTTGATATGCATATTCAAATGAGAAAAAAAATGATAAATAAGATCGAACACATCGATAAAGTAGATAAATTAGTTTTCTACTTTTTTTTTTGTTTTATTTTATAAAAATATATCAATACTTATAAATTCTAATCGCATTTGATTTATTTTAGGAGATGTGGAAAAAATATAAAATCTTGTGGTATCTTGAAAGTGTGAGGTCTATGTGAAAAAAAACTCGTAAAAATAGTAGTTGGTCATTTTTATATGTATTTTGTTGGTCAAACTATTCTTCTTTGAAATACAAAGTTCATTAAATATAACTTGTATGGTTTTCCTTATCAATAAGTTTGGAAACTTTGGTTTGATTGTTTCCTAAGAAAAATGGTTTCGACAAGAAATATGTCATGTGTGCATAAAATGTTCATAACCATCTTTAATTTGTTTACATGTTTGCTAGAATGAAACTATTTTGGGAATATAAAAATGATTTTTTTTGTTCAATTACCATGGTAATTATGGTATGCCATTGATAAGAAAGAAAGATTTTGATTTTTACCTCTTTCAAGTGTCAACTATGAAAATAGAAAATCAATGAGAGTACGGAATTACTTCGATATCAAATAATTATTTTGTTATTTATAGTATTAACTTATTAAAATAATAATTTGGGTAAATATGATATTTAGAAATTTTATATATATATATATATATATATATATATATATATAAAATATGTTAAACTTAGATTTATAAGAGTTTATAATATTGATAAAAATTCGATTAGATTATATTAGTTTCGAAAGTTAAAAATCCAAATAGATTGGATGGGTTCTTAGATGAACCTAAAAATCCAATAAATAACCGAACCAAAGTTCATCTAATTGGATGTCTAATATTATCATCCAGTAAATATCCAATGTTATATCTAATTACCATAATTGAACTTTGAAGTTTAAACGTTTTTTTTTTCTATTATAGGTTGAACTTTTGACATTGGTCGTTGAAGTGTCGTTTTATATAGCCCATGCGATGAGAGTCTAATGGTTGGGGATTTAAATTCAGCACAATACGTCTAGGGTTCAAACTCTCAAACTCTGACACATCCAAAATATTGTTAGTGTTCCGCGATTGACCTCACATATAAATTTTGGGACGGATTGACGTGAGATGCTCATGTTGTAAGGTTTACCATTTTTAAAGTGTCGTTTATTGTCTTTTTTACCATAACTATGTGTGCTTTTAGTTTTATTTATCATAATTATATTTGGTTGTTAATGGATAGAAACTATATTAGAATTAGTTAGATAATAATGGATAATCAATCATATATATATATATATATATATATATATATATATATATGGAAAAGTTCAATAGAGAACCATAATTATTGGTTCTTCAAATAATCAAATCTTTTTTTCAATTTCTAGAGCTTATTCTTTATCGAAAAAAAAATCTAAAAATATCTAAATTCATATATTAATATTGTGAATGTGAAAAATATTTTTCGGATTCACATTGTGAATTTCCAAAGATTCACATTGTGAATTTGACGTAAAAAAAAAAATTTGAATTTGATATCATTGGAAAAATGATAAAAAGTTATGAATTTATGTATTTTTAGTTTTTTTTGATAAAAAATAAGTTCTAAAAGTTGAAAAAAAGATTGGTTCCTTGATTAATTATGGTTATCTATTGAACCTCACCCTATATATATATATATATATATATATATATATATATATATATATATATATATATATGATAAAATCATTCAAATTTAATATTCAATTTGATCAACATGGTTTTGTTGTATATAACGAATTTGATTGGATTATTAGTTGACAAAATCCAATATCCAATGTATTTCAATTTATGAACACCCCTACCACTACCGACACCATCATCGCCACCGTCTTTATCATCTACACATCAATGTGGTTAATACGTTTATGTAAATATGATTTGTTTGTTTAATATTATCCATGATCATGTGATTTAGTATTATTTATAGATTTTATATATTTTAAATAACAAACTATCTTTTCTTTTAACACTGCAACCTTCTAATATATATCTTATATAAATGTTGAAAAAAATGAAGACGTTTTATTTGTTAAATACAAACGACATATTAATGTTAAACAAATAATAAATGTAACCTTCTTGGAAAACCAAACTATTGTCAAATTGGCGTTCTGATCGAGATGAGAGATTTGGAGAGAGATACACATTCATATTTGGAAGGAAGATTTGTTCGATATATACAAACAAGACGCTTTCCTTAAAATTTATGGGTTAAGGAACAAAAATTCATTAATATGATAAAAAAAGAAAAATAATAATAATAAATATGAGCCATCTTGGATAAAAGGTGGAGGGAGCTCCGGCATGGAGGCCGGAGGGTGGATGAAACCACATGTGGTTTGGAAATAGGTGGCTTCCTTTCTGATTATTGTATAAATCGATGATGATTGTGAGGGATATTTTAGGAACAAATTACGGGGGTATGTTTTTGTGTGTTTTGAACGGTTAATATCGTTATGATAAAAGTATTCAAACTCGAAATGAAGAAACAGAAACAAAAACAATTCAAAATGTCTATATATAAATTATAGAGTTATAAAACAGAAAACATACTTGGATGATATAAATTATAGCGTTATAAAACATAAAATATACTTGGATGTGATATATACAAAGATTACAACCACCATAGTGTGTAGAGAGAGGCATGTCTGGCAACATTATAAGATAGAA